CCCCGTGATGACACTGACACGTTGTCCTCATTTTAATACACGCGGCCAGTCAAGCTCCCAGCACGGCACGGCACGACACGGCACGGTGAGGCACCCTATCGGGAGGGCTTCCCGATCACTGCACATCCTGCCCATCACGAACCCCCGCCTCGCGCGCTTATGACTCCATCTCTCTCCGTGTCTCTCTCTCTCTCTCTCTCTCTCTCTCTCTCTCTCTCTCTCTCTCTCTCTCTCTCTCTAAATCGCTCTGAATTACTCTGAATGTACGCACGATTGGCTGCCGGCATGCTGCCTGTGTGACGCAGGCCACCAGCCGCCCCCAGAGCTCGCAATGCAAAGCTTTCCAGGAACGCGGGGGCCGCCGGGTGGCAACTCTACCGTGGGGGCTGGAGGGTTGCCTACCGGCCGGGCGCCTGGAAACTGGAAGCCTGGAAGTAGGCAACTCTTAGTAACGGACCGGGGGTTGCCTATCTGCCGAGCGCCTGGAAGCTGGAAGCCTGGAAGTAGGCAACTCTAAGTACGCGCCGGGGCCGGGAGTTGCCTACCTGCCGAAGCTGGAAGCTGGAAGTAGGCAACTCTAGACCCGCCGCTGCCTCGCTGCCTCGCTCCCCGGTCTGCTCTCTTCCCGTCCGGCACTTGAGCGCAGCGTTGTGCACACTCCTCTCCCCGCCCCGCCACTCCCCGCCACTCCCCGCCACTCCCCGCCACTCCGCGCGCGCCGCACCGCCGTTTGTTTTGGGTTCTTCACGGCACCATTGTTCTGGCCGGCGACGCGACTCGACGAGAGACTTGGTCCAGAGTTCCCTCCGGCTTGCCAGTTTATTGTTCAGTCCCTTGATGATGTTGGCCTCCAGCGCGACGCCGCCGCGCGCCATGGCGGGTAGCTGCCGCCAGGGCCAGGGCAAGGGCGGGGAAGGGCAGCGTGCGCGCGGGAAGACCCCCAGCAGACTGATTTCGACAGTCGTTGTCGTCGCTCTTTCTCTCTCGCACTCATGGAGAGTCCCCTGTAGGTGTGAGGGAGACAGGGCGACGAAAAGGACTCTCGGAATCAGGGTGCAGCCCCTCCCCGGCCGCTACAAGCGCAACGTGTTGCTGGGCGGCGAGGGCGCCCGTGAGGTAGGCCACCCATCGCACGCACACGTCGTGGGGGTTGCGCGCCAGGCAGGCTGCCAGCGCCGCGCTGCACCGGGGCGACAACCGCACCCCTGCTACAGTCGCTGTGGCGGTCGGCGGTCCGCACAACGCTGCCTTTCCGTCTCCTTCTCAGGACGGCGGTTGGACTCGAACCCGCGCCTCCCGAGTCTCTGGGGCCATCGTCCTCGCGGAGGAGGTCCGTTGGCCCCGCATATTGGTCACACACGGGCCAGCCCGGGCCATACATTGGCCCGGATGGCCCAAATCGGCCCGACGTTGCGCCGGCCAGGACGACCGTGTCCAGGACCATGCCGGTCAGGAGGGTCAGGAGGCAGTAACCATTCCCATGGTAATCGACAATGAGACACGCGACGCGCCGCGACGCGCGGTGTGGGCCGGAAAACATTGGCGGAGCTGGCGGAGCGAATTTGTTGGGCTCGGTACCGAACCGTGCGGCGGACACAGCGCGGACATGAAGACCTCCCCCAGGCACAGTGGACCAGAAGACCGGCGGAGGCGGCCGAAACTCCAGACGCGTTTTGAGCTCCAGAGTCGCTAAGTGCGACTCGAACCGAGCGTATGGCCCCACCATGAGATTGGCCCCACCAATGGATTCCTCGCTCGGACAGCTATCCATTGGTGGGGTCATACGTTCCGTTCGAGTTCCATTTAGCGACTCTGGAGCTCAAAACGCGTCTGGGATTTTGGCCGCCTCCACCGGCCTTCTGGCCCACTGTGCCAGGGTGACCTCCGTCGAGGCCCGTCCACGATGACGTGCGAGACCGCCAGGACGGCGCGGGCCGCGTGTCTATGAGCTCACCGACGACGACGGCTTGCCGCACGGCTTGCCGCTCCAGGCGCAGTCCGATCCGATCGCGAAAAGTGAAAATGGTTTTGCCAGGCGGCGCGATTGCGGGAGGGGGGAGCACGAGGGGGGCAGGGCGTGCTTTTGCCGCCTTTGCGCGGCACGAGACGAACGCCTTCTGCTGCGAGAGAGGGCGCTGCCGGCAGTGGCGGCCAGGCTGGGCAGGCTGGGCAGGCTGCTGGCGGCGGTCCGAACTCTCCGAACACAAGCCGGGCACGACGCCGAGCCCCGAGCCGGCCAGGCCAGACCGCGCCGCGCACCGCAGTGGGCCCTGGACTTCCCCTTGTGAGTGAGTGAGTGCGCGACCGTGTGTGTGCTGGACTCGCTGGACTCTGGACTTGGTGCGCGCACAGTCGGCGCCAATCAGAGCTGTGCGGCTCCGCGGGGTGTCAGACGTGCGTGCTGGAGCTGTAGTGCTCGCTGCAGCACGGCGGCGCTGGGCAAGAAGGCGGCTAGCTTGGCCACGGACAGACTCCAGACGGACGCCGAGGCAGTGGAGCGGACCGCCGTCTCCCGCTGCGGCTCAAACACTTCCGCGCGAGTAGACTCAACGCCCTCGTCCTGGTTCAAGGTACTAAAAGCATCCGCTAGTGCTCTTGTTTTGACAAACCTTCGGTTTCGCCGAAAAAAAAAACACGATTTGCTTGATCAGAGCGGCTCTCCCGCTTCGCGCTCCTAGATAAGCTGCCCGCCGATGCAGCGCCCCGCGATCGTATTTCAAAAGTGCATGCCGGATTTTACGACTTTCTTATCGGCTCGGTGATAAATTGCCTTGCCTGTGCCACGTTTCAAATTAATTTCCCCGTCAATACGGACGGGGATAGCGAATTGGGGCCCCGGGTCGGGGCGGGGGGAGACGGCCCACAGTGGACCAGAAGACCGGTGGAGGCGGCCAAAGTTCTAGACGCGTTTTGAGCTCTATAGAATCACTAAATGGTACTCGAGCCGCACGTGTGACCCCACCAATGAATTGCTCTCCGAACGAGGGATCCATTGGTGGGGTCACACGTTCGGTTTGAGTCCTTTTTAGCGACTCTGGAGCTCAGAATTTTGACTGCCTCCAGGTCTTCTGGCAAATCCACTAAGCAACAACGCCTCTCGCGGAAATTTGTCCTTTTTTCCAGTGTCCATATAGTGCGGCGGTACTAAATCATAAATTGTCACAGCCATGTGATCAGCCGCGGCCATAAATCTAGACTTTGTTGCGATGAGCGCCGTGCTAAATTACGCCTTGGCAAAAAGCCGATTTGTCGATGGTAATCGATAAATGAATCACGAAAACAGGCGAGGCCGGCCAAGCCGCCTTGCAGTGCTTGCAGTGCCTGCACGGCCCGCGTCCGGGGCAGGGCACTTGCATTGTGGTGGTGCCGCGGTGCCGCAGGGAATGCCGACACAGGCCATGCACAGCGCCGCGCTCCGCGCTCGCCACGCGACCGCCATTTTCGTTCCAAGCGTCGTTCCGAGAACAAGCGGCGCGTTGCTCGAGGAGTGACCCACTGCAAAATTCAGTGAACAATGATTGCGGGAATGTGGAGGATTTCTCGCGCATTTGCCACACATATCGCCCTACTTACAGGCGTTTCGCCAACTTAATTTGTTATGAATTCAAATTTTGTACCGTTAGTGAAGGAAGCTGTCTTCTCTCTCTCTCTCTCTCTCTCTCTCTCTCTCTCTCTCTCTCTCTCTCTCTCTCTCTCTCTCTCTCTCTCTCTCTCTCTCTCTCTCTCTCTCTCTCTCTCCCCCGGTCGCTGCAGGCGGGTGGGTGACTTGGTGACTCGGTCCTGGCCAAGGCAGCCAAGGTTAACAGCGGGGCCTAAGTGGCTATAACGTATTAGTTTGGATCCGAAGCAGGTCTTGCCCGTCTTGTCTTGACGGTCTCGATGCCATCTCCTTTACGACTTGGTTAACAGCTCTGCTTCACTTCATCGCCTTGCCGCCGACGGCCACGGAGTGCTGCTGTACGAATCCATATCGTTAAAAATACGTTTCCTGATGCCTTCGTTTATACCTTTTTTTTTCTCGAGTCCAGATGCTTCATTTCGCGTACGCTGACTGATTGACCTTTTAATTCGAAATAATGTCGTCCTTTTCTCTCGCGCTTCAATTATCATAAGGCTCAAGAAAACATAAACCTCGCTTCACACTCTCGCACACACACACTTACTCCGCCTCGAAAGCGATAAATCCTTTTACACTGACGCCAGTCCGCGCGACGCGCGGCTCTGCGTTGTTCTGCCGCTGCCCAACCGCCTTTTGCCTCCCACAAGCCGCCTTGCCTTTCCGAGCGTGATCCAGTTGACCCCCCGCGAAATTGTTTTCTAACAATACTTTGCCATTGTCTGGTCTGGTCCGTCTGGTCGCCGAGCGAGCCGTATCATGCAAACACACTCCTCGCGATTGCGGCTGTGGCGTCTCCACCTTTCTCGCACGCACACAAGCGCAGACACAGACACACAGACACACAGCCAGACACACAGACAGACACACAGACAGACACACAGACAGACACACAGACAGACAGACACACACACACTCACACACTCACTCACACACACACACCTACACACACACACACACACACACACACACAAGACATTGGCGGTTCCAATAAGGAGCCGCTTTATCGCGGCGTGGCGTGGCGGGGCGTGGCCGCGGTGGGACTTCCACCACACTGCCGGCGCTGCCGGGACTGCGGCAGGGCGGGCAGGAGGGCGGGCAGGAGGGCGGGCAGGGCGACGGCGCGGACAATGTGCCGTCCGTCTTGTTCGTGACAGACTGACAGACGCGGCCGAGCCAGCGCCCCGCGCGCGTGCCGCCGCGCCGCCGCGCCGCCAGTGCTGCCGCGGACACGGAAACCTAAACCGCAGGGGATTTGTCGGATTTGAGCAAAGTGTGCGACCGTCCTGTACTGTACCACTCCGTGTGTTCCAGCATGGACCCCGCGGCGCCCGGGGGCTGCTGGAGTGGCGGCGGCTGGAGCGGCTGGAGCCGCAGAGGCGCCCCGGTGCTCGCCGTCCTCGCGCTCCTGGCCGCCGCCTCCCTCGCCTCGGCCTGGCACTCCGACAGAAGTAAGTCGTTTGACGGCTTGGCCCGCGAGTGCGAGAGAGACAGCCATACACGCGGACAGTGGACTGCATGGGGTCTGTTGCAGAGCCGCGGCTGTTCGGCGAGCGTATCCCGAAGCAGCACCTGTCCCCCATCAACAAGCACGTCCAGGACAAGATCGTGCTGTACCACAACTACTTCCGCGCCAACGTCAACCCCGCCGCCAAGAACATGCTGCTCATGGTGAGCCAGCAGACTGACTGCGACGGAGTCCGCGTTTTCGTCGCTCTGTATCACACATGTGGGAGGCCCATGAGTGCGAGACAGAGCGACGCGAGGACGATCAGTCTGCAGGTCTTTGGACTCACCCCGCCCCGGTCCTCGTCTGTTTCCCGCGTTGCAGAAATGGCACCCGGAGTCGGCGCGCGCCGCGCAGCGCTGGGCGGAGGAGTGCCTGTTCCTGCAGCACGACAACATCACCGGCCGCTGGATCGACCTGTTCGGCTCGTGCGGCCAGAACATCTTCGTGTCCACGCACCAGGTGCCTTGGTAAGCCTCTGCCACCAAGTCGAATCAGTTGTTGCGTCTAAAGTTGGTGCAGAAAATAATTCCACTAAGGGCCGAAAGGGTTGACGACCTCAGCCTGCCAACCGGGCAAGGAATTGGGCAGTGCTCTAAGAAGTTGCCTCGTAGGCAGGCCGAGGTTGGCAACCCTTTCCGTGAGAATTTTTGCCCACCTGTGTGGCGACGCATGATTTTTAGCAGGGTACAGTCCTGTCCGTTTCGTTTCGTCTCGTTCCCCGGCGAGAGTCGCAGACGCCGACGGACAGACAAACAGACTCCCACTCGCTTTCAGCAGATCTGCCTTCGTTTCGTCGCCCGGCGTCGCGCGTCCGGAGTCGAGACCGCCCGCGCCTTCTTCGCACGCAGCCGTCTGTGACGTTTGTGTGTGTGTATGTGAGCGTGTGTGTGAGTGTGTGCGTGTGTGCGGGTGAAAGCAGGGAGTGGGAGTGTCCAGGCCATTCGCGCTGTCCTATAAACTCCTCCGAGGACTCTATTGCGGCTCCACTTGACGCCGCCGCGCTGCGTGCAAGGCGTGCCGTATGGGTGGCCTACCTCGCAGGCGGCTCCACTCTCGGACTCTTAGTAGAACTTGACGCCAGCCTCGCCTGTTGCCTGCCTTGCCTCCAAACAGTGGGCCAGAAGACCGGCGCAGGCGGACAAAATTCTAGACGCGTTTTGAGCTCCAGAGCCGCTAAATGGGACTCGAACCGAGCGCGTGACCCCACCAATGGATTCTTCGTTGGGAGAGCAATCCATTGGTGGGGTCACACGTTCGATTCGAGTCCCATTTAGCGACTCTGGAGCTCAAAACGCGTAGTTTTGTCCGCCTCCACCGGTCTTCTGGCCCACTGTGCTCCATACCTTTACCTGCCTGTGCGGCGATGTGTCCACAGGTTCTTCGCGGTGGAGACGTGGAACCTGGAGAAGCGCAACTTCACGTACGGCGCGGACACCAACAACCTCACGCTGGTCGGCCACTACACGCAGCTGGTGTGGGCCGCCTCGCACCAGGTGGGCTGCGGATTCCACAAGTGCCCGCGGGGCGGCAACAGGAACAAGCCATACTACGCCTACGTCTGCAACTACTGCCCCATGTGAGTCCGCGGTGGGGTCATTCCCCCAGGACCCCACTTTCGACCGCACGACAGCGGGAGGCCTCTGAAATCTGAAATTATTAGGCGAAAGCGTCATAAGATTCACTAGTACTGAAAGGGTTGCCTCTTCGGCAACTTCTCGAGAGAAAAGCCCAGGCAGGCTGAGGATGGCAACCTTCTCGACACAGGTGCATTTTATGATTGTTTTTGCCTATTTACGTGGCATCAGACTGATTCCGAGAGTCGCTTTCGTCGCTCTGTCCCTCTCGCATTCAAGGGGCGTGTCGTAGGGTTGTCGAGACAGAGCGACGAAAACGACTCTCGGAATCAGTCTCCAGGCCACTCTGATGACACTGCTTCTGCAGGGGCAACCACATGGCCCGCCTGGGCCGGCCCTACGAGCGCGGCGAGCGCTGCTCCGGGTGCCCGAAGCGCTGCCGGAAGGGCCTGTGCACCAACGCCTGCCCCGCGGCCGACCTGTGGGCCAACTGCCGCGAGCTGCACGCGTCCTGGCCGCACTGGCTGTGCCGCACCAACACGCCGCAGGGCCGCCAGAGGATCTCCTTCTGCAGGGCCACCTGCAAGTGCAGGAACAGGATCACCTAGCCTCCTCGGGGGCCTCGTGCGTCTCGGCCAGCTTCGAGGTGGACGCCTCGGCCACGGCCGCGGCGGCGACGGTTTGAAGGACACGGCGGCACGGCGGGCAGCGGGAGGGAGTCCGGAGCAGGGCTGCCAACCCAACGACTGCACTGTGCCCACGAGCACCCTTCAAAGGACGCCACGAACTCGTCTCAAAAGACGTTCCACAGTCAAGAAGATCGGTCTAAGAAAAAACATGTAATGTTTTCACTGTTAGGAAGCGGTACATTCAAGCCAGCTCCGGGAGCAAGGTGGACATTTGACTTTCAGAGGGTTGAGGTCGAACTTGTGACTTCTGAGAAGGCTGTTGTTTACAAACTTTTAAACTGGCGTCCTACGCTGACATCTGCAGTGCAGAAAATTGATTATGTATATTTACAAGTTCTGCAATCGCACATTGTTTTGTGTCAGGTTGGAAGAAACTGAAAGGGAACTTCCAGTCCACCAAGAGTGTGTTGCGTCCTAACTTGCTGATCTTAAACTTTATTCAAAATGAGAGCTAATAAAGCCTCAAATGTAGTTTGGTAATGTTCTGTTCCTATTAATTTAGTACATAAATATCTTTTATGGCCATTGTAGTCTTGTATTTTATTTTGAGGCGCCGTGTTTAATGACTGTATTTTAACGCATTTGTATTTGTATACTTTTTTAACCAGTGAACAGCAGGCAAAGTTTGTTCAGGAAAGAATTGTTTCAGTTGAGAAACATTTTGCAGAAATGTGTGATATTTTTGGATCCGTGGCAAAGAAAAACGCGGGGTATGTCAAATGCTGCATATCGGTCTGGCCCAAGCTTTTTCATTCCTTTCAATAAATGTTATTCATTTTCAGTTTACGAGATAAAAATGATGAACTTTCCAAAGCCATAAGAAACTATGCAGAGAATGAAAATGTGAATCAGTCACTCAAATCCAATTTGATGGAGTTCTCTGCTATTCTAACATCTGTTGGTGACTATCGGTACGTCAAACTTTTTCAGAAGTCTCAGTTGGTTGAAATTACAATTAATGAAAGCAAATTTTTAGTGACACTCAGGTGAAGCGTATGGAAAATAAGGTGGTAAGTGAATTGTCTCAATATGATAGTATCTGCAAACATTCACGTGAGGAGGTGAAAGCTACATTTTCTGCAAGAGAAAAAGAATTAGTGCGAAAACGCCAATTGGACCGCATTCGAGAACGCAATCCTAGAAATAGGCAGATGATTGTATCCTTTATGTGTGGTCAATGAACAAAATCTGTATTTTATTTATTTTGCCACAATCTCAAGCCTTAACATATGACTGCAGACTCTAGCTGAAACAGAGCTTTTAAAAGCAAGTGCTGAAGTTTCACGCTCAATGAAGGGTCTGGAGGAACAAATGAACATTTTTGAGAAAAAGAAGCTTGAAGATATAAAATCAGTTCTTCAAGACTATGTGTTGACTGAAATAGCTTTTAATGCAAAATCTCTGGAACTGTTTACCAAGGCTTTCCAAGATCTTCAGAACATCAGCATTGAAGATGATGTGGAGGTTGGCCATATTTTGAATACATCAAATCAATTCTTCGATGATTTCTAAATAATTGTCATTGAACTGCATTTCCAGGATTTTAAGGATGTACTTCGAGTTCCTGACTCTATAACCCGTTTGGACACTGTCAAGAGAACTTCTTTCCGCGCTTCCACTCCCCTTGGTTCACTGGCCAACCTCTTCACTACTCCTCCAAGGTTTAGAAGGTCCTCTGACTCAGGTTTAGCAAGATCACCACCCAAGGAGAGGGGTGGCAAATCTCAATCTGTGGTAAGAATTTTTAAAAGTACTATGTTATGTTAAAGTATCCTGTGCTTATCATAAGATTTTTCTTTTCTTAAATTTAGGACTCATTGAAAAAGGGTTTAGGAGAGTCCTCAGAATCTGTGGAGGTGGAAGACTTTGTAGATGATGAATCATCATACACTAGTGATGAAGATTATGACAGAAAATGAAGATGTATCAAGCTCAAAATCTCTCTTGTAGTTATTGTTAGTAAACAAAAATTTCAAAGGAAGACAAACAATAAAATGAAACTATTAACCGTTATCTATGCCCACTTGTTTATTTTTAATACATCTTGATAAATGTTGATGTGTAACGTTTCAGCAAAAGAGGAATGCAAATCAAATCTATTACAAAATAAATGAAAAATATCATAAAAAGAAAGTGTTTTCAAGATTCAGAAACATTATTTCTCAGGGCCGTCAACACCAGCTTGAGTCATTAGATCTGCAATGTTCTTCTCCAGGTCATCTATTCTCGTACCCATTTCATCTAGTAAATCCAATTAAGGAAATAAAACCACATTTATACTATTTGCAAAGACCTCAAAATAAAACAACGGAAGAGAACTGAAAACCTAAATAATTTCATCGTAATGCAAAACAAAGGATATTTCTTGTGATGATTTGGTCCGACATAGTCTGGAACTTATCTTGCATTCCTTGGAGGAGGGTCTGAACCTGAAAAAAAAACAAAAAACATATTATTAGTGACCAGAAAAGAAAATGTTACTTCTTCACACACATAAAGCACAATGGGGGCAAGTTTTGCCAAGAAAGAGAACAAGAAAAAGGGTACAAGGAAAAGTCTATTTATGTCCGAGCTGATAAAAAACAAAGTCTCTCTAACCTTTCAGACTGAATCAACAGGACACAAGTACTAATGATTGAAAGATTTCAACGGGCTAAGATGATAGATCAGCCATCAAGTCAATCGCATGCATCGTGGTAGAACAAAATTAAATGAGGATCTTATGAAATGACGCGATTAGTAAAAGCCTTTACTCTGACAAGAGCGTTCTGACAGCATCAAGACACCAACGAAAAGGCGGAAAAAACACGAATAAATCATGAAATTACTTACATAGGTCGTCAATTCCTGCATGTTTTTAGGATCAGCGCTACTACTCACTGCGCAGTTATGCTGGTCCTGGCCAGACTTGATATTTTCCTGCATATCTGCCATGGCTTTTCCAACGAAAACAAACAGCCCAGCAGAAGCCGAGGACGAGGTTAGGTTATCCGGTTCGGGCGCGCCGGAGGCGGAAGCTGGGAAGGCGCGCGGCGCGGCCTGCGGCGGGAGCAAACGGTACGTTCAAACGGAAGCGCAGAGACGGAGCGGGACACCGTGGACACGGAACCTCTCCAGACGCAAGCTGCGAGTGTTCTGGTCGCGTGCAGCGGTTGAGCTGGAAGGAACGGTGGCTGGCAGGGACAGGCTATTCCTTTCGGCTGCGTGCGGAGACAGTCGACGACAGTCGCAGTCCCTCGCGAGGGGCGCAATCGGGGTGGCTTTCGAGGCGTCCCGAGGGGGTGGGGGTGTGCGACCGGGGCGACCAGGGGCGGCGGGGATTTGGGGGCGCCGGCCCCGCGCCGCCCTCCCCGTACCAGGGGCGTCCCGACACCGCGCTGAGCCTGGCAAGTACACTGTTATCAAAACCATGCCATTGACGCCTTTTCCCGACGACGTCTAGCTGTAAAGTGCTCTCTTATCTACCACCGAACGGTTGGGTGTAAATGAAGCGAAAACTCATGAAACCCCATTTAAGGAGATAATGAGCTGTCCTAACTTTTTAAGGTCATGTCAATATTTAATCTGTAATCCTTTCTTGAAAGAGAGTTCTTCTTGGAAACGTATGTACTCTTCTATTAATTGCTTTCGTGACCCTCATTATCACCCTGTGATCCGACTTTATAAATCCATTAAGCACCTCCAAGGCACCCCCTCCCCACCAGGCGCGGATACAGGGGGGGCAATGGGGTTTTTGCCCCCCCCCCTAGATAGCCGCCTGAAAGGTAGGCAAAAAGTGCTACTTTGCCCCTGTAAGTAGGCAAAAAGTGCGACTTTGCGCCCCCCCCCCATAGGCCGCCTCTGGGTCCGCCACTGCTCCCCACCCACAGGAAGAAATTTCCACGAGGAGGCGCGTGTTATCGAATAAGTGTCTCTATCCATGGTGTCTCCGTACGTCCTATAACAGAGATAAATGTCTCTCCCTGTCGATCAACAAACATCACGTCCAAACAAAAGCGAAAGTTGATGTTAATTTTTCTTTCTTTCTGTTTTGCAGAGTGGCGAAATGTAGGTAAACCGCTGACAAACAGTATTATCTGTATTATGCCACTTATCAATCCCAATTCGAAAATATCAAGATCTCCAAATGCAAATGGCCAAGGCCAAATGATAATGATGCAGGCCCCCTTTTTTGTGAGTGTACTTGTTGGGGCAGTTGGTTCACCTGTTTATTTGCAGCAATTTTCATGCCGTAAGGTTGGGTACCCTGTTCATACAGTCGAACCTGATCTCGACCAGTGTGTGGTCGAACATGGCAGAAGTCATAGGAGTTCTGGCTGAGCTATTGTCAGTCTTTGTGCCGTTGTATTTAATTGTTTGCGCATGAGTTCTGTTCGTTAAACGAAGGTAAAGATAGGACGCAGGTTAGTAGCAGAGTGCACTGATGGAGTGGTTATTTTGATGGCTCCTCTCCTTGCTTTGGTGCTCAGCTGCGAGCAAATTAGAGTCCGAACTGGGGAGGAAGTGGCCTATTAGACAATACAAGGTGGGGGTAGGGGCAAGTGATCAAAGCAAATCTCTTGATCTACTTATTTTGGGTGATTTCCGTACCCTGAAAGAAGTGCACATTCTTATCCTGGACTCTGTTGATGGTTAGTTCACCATTTTGAAATTTGGTTGTGCAAATGGATGGAGTGGAAACTCGAGGGGGGATTTGGGACACTTAGTCACCGTGCTGGCTCCTCGATAATTTCAATAGTAAATATTCCACCAATTGCGTTTTTTGATGGACTGGATTGCGATACTAATTTACTAAGATCGCCCGATTCGAGTGTTTCATTATTATTAGTCTGTGTTGCATATGAACAATAGTCTTTGCCACTTTTGTTTGAGGTTAAGTTAGTTCTGGCCTAATACTCAAACACAATTGTATGAGGTTTTTTTCATCTTGTGCTTCGTTTTTCACTATTTACTTATCCATTTGATATTGGTTTTGGGATGTGCCCAACACTTGTGCCCTTATTATGACAGCAGAGGCCGTGCCAAGCTGTAGACACTTTCAGTACATGAAGTTACATTTTACTGGTTTTTCCACTCTGAAGTATGTTTGTCTGTAAAACTTGCTCATTCTGTGGAAGAGTTTGTGCCCTCTTTTGCTGTTTGAGTGCATTATGATAAGATATGTGGGTTTGTTACGCATTCAAGTGGTATGAATGATCTGTATGTTGGGTTCTAGTTCTAAAGGTCTGTTTTTATATTATCTGGGATACCCCTTTCAATATTCTTGCTATCTTCACCAATGTTTTTACTTTGTCTTGCCAAAGAGGTGTGGTTACTTTTGAAATGATAAAGATTTCCTCTTCCTCCAGGATTGCCCAATGGCAGTATGGCCTCGGTCATGCAGAAGAATGGTTTGAAGCCCCTCGCCAATGGAAATTTGATTCAGCATGTTGAGATGAACAAAGTGTGTGCTGCAAGACCTGTGCAACAGCAGCAACAGCAAATGCATTACGGTGAAGAGCAAGTTCAACATGGAATAGTGAATGGACAACAAGTTCTACTTCAACATGGACGAATTATAAGCCATGTTATTAGTCAAGAATCACCTGTAGGAATCAGTGATAATAGTGTTCCAAATGATAGTGGACCTGAAGGGAAGCTGATTATTGATACTGATCAAGAACCTAGTGCAGAAGTTCCTGTAGTTGACAATGGTGAAATAGAGGAAGAAGGAGACCAACCTGAAGTTGATATAGTGATCAATAATGTGGTATGCAGCTTTTCTGTGAAGTGTCATTTGAATCTCCGGCAAATAGCTTTGCAGGGCTTCAATGTGGAGTACCGGCGAGAAAATGGGGTTAGTTGTGTAGCGTCAAGTTGAGTTTTTTAATGATAAGCTTCAACATTATTTTTGACATGTATCTTATTCTTGCATCAGATGGTTACAATGAAACTTCGAAGACCATATACAACCGCTTCCATCTGGTCATCAGGAAAAATAACATGTACAGGATCTACTAGTGAAGAGGATGCCAAAGTGGCTGCTCGGCGGTTTGCCCGATGTTTGCAAAAGCTGGGCTTCAAAGCACGGTTTAGTAATTTTCGGGTTGTTAATGTCTTAGGCACATGCTCCATGCCGTTTGCAATTAAAATAACAGCATTTTCAGAGAGGCATAAAGATGCAGAGTAAGCACAATATCTTACCGTAACCTTAGAATATTCATTAATTATATGTAATGTACAAATACTGTTTCAAAATTATTTCTAACTGTTTTTCTTTTCATGTTTGTGATTAGCTATGAACCGGAACTTCATCCTGGTGTCACCTACAAGCTCAAAAAGCCAAAGGCAACTCTCAAAATATTTTCAACCGGTAGTGTCACAGTAACAGGTGAGTCAACATTTCATTTCCCTTTATGTGCATGTTCTCTACCAACATATACTGTCCTCCAGCAAATTTCTGAACTTTATGTTGCTGTTGAACTTCTGTAACAAATTTTCTTGCATCCTTTGTAGCACCCTGTGTTGCCTCAGTCCAAGCAGCCATAGAGTACATCTTTCCTCTAGTCTACGAATTCCGCAAGGAAAGAACAAAGGAAGATATCCTTAATTTGAAAAAGAAATTACGTGAGAGACGAGCCAAACGTGGACTCAAGGATAGTGAAGAAGATGATGTTCTTCTTAGTGGGTATGAAGGTGTAGATGATGGTGACGAGGAGGAGGAACTAGAAGAAATGGCAGATGATGAAGACTGGGAATAGTGTGGGGTTGGAAGGGATTCAACATGCTGATGCCAAACATCTTTTGTAATTAAATCACATCTCAGAATCTTAGTATTTAGCACTTGGCATATTCTTTAGTTTAATGTGTTACTGTATGCCTCTACTTGCATAGCACTTCATTGTTGAAGCAATAATGTATGCCTCCCTCAGCCATTTGAAGAACTGTACCTGAAGATAAGTAGTGGGCTGAGGGCAGCATTACCATGTCATGTTATATCCATGTTGTCATTGGTACCGTTATTTTATTGTACATCAACTCATAAAATGAGTAATGTGTATATTTGGACTGATAGTGTCCAATGACAATCAAATAGGATTTGTAAGTGCATTTTTATCATTCATGCAAGTAGTTGGTTGTACATCATTTCTTCCTCATGAGGTTAAGTTCTATCCCTATCTACTGAACAAAAAAAATATTGCTCCAATGGTCAAGGGTTGTTTTGTTTCATGTCAGTTATTGTTTTAATTTTCAAACATTCTATTGATTTTCAAATTCTTTTCAGCTCTTTGTGACTACAGTTTATGCGATGTACTGTCTACATGATGCTCTGTCTTGTCCTGAGAGCTTTTACTGTCTGAGTGCTTGTTTTTTCCCCAAGTGGGTTTTTCTCTCAACAACCAGTGACAATGTGATTGAAAATTAAAGGTTTGCAATTTTCTGAATCTTTTCTGGTGCTTCAGTTTTGCATTGCCCAGCTTTCTTCATTCTTGAAGATGCTTGGTAAGTGTCATTGTTATATGAAGCGCTGACCAATATGAAGACAGCTCTACAAATTTCACTTTTGGAAAGACTAAATTTGTGTGACTCCTTAGTTCTGTGAACTGTTTTCTTAGTTTAAGTTTCCTGTAACTATTATCATTGCACCACTTAATCATTGGTATTTCTTTCATGTTGGCTTACATTGTGTGGTGCATAATCATATCAGCACAACATCAAGCTCAGTTTTGCATTTGAGGCGTTTAAACTGGAGTGTGCGCATGATTTGGTGGTGTTCATGATTCTTAGTCATTGTTGCTAATACCTTGTCTCATAAGTTCTATTGATAAATGAATGTCCTAACTTTAAGCCTTGTTAATGTTGAAATACTGGCGCTTAGAACTTTCAAGAGTGTAATTAATCTGAAGATATGTGATAATTGACCATACTTTGTTTTTTCCTTTCAAGATCCCCAGTTGCCTCTCATTCAGCCAAGATGTGTTTTGTGTAACCCATATTGAAGCAGCAGCAGTTAACTCTCTCAACTTTTGAAGTGCTGTGTTATAAAGGGGTTGACTTTGTATGGTCTATATTGAATGCTGTGTGGTGGAAATGAAATCAGAGTACACAAAGGCAGTGTCATTGCTCAACTGCCATCATTCTTTTTCTCTTATTTATTGTCATTACATAAGTTGAAGGTAGGAGTCAGCCAGTCCTGTTTGCGCACCAATGCTGAACCTTAAAAAATGGTTTTGTTACTGCCATTGTGTACTCATATGAAGTATGTAAATGTTGGTTCCTTTGTTATATAAATGCTTAGTTTTCGTTCAGTTGGAGGAATTGAATCAAATGAGCCTACAATCTTGAATCCCTGCTTTGGGAATCGAGCCTAAGTGATAGCATTTTCTGGAATAAATATGTCTGTTACATGTAGACAAACTGCTATTTCCACATTATTTAGTTCTAAATTGTGCTCTTTGAAGCCTGGGCCTCAACCATGAAGTTCTGCTTCCTTCCTGATGAGCATTACTGGTGTGTCCACCTTCTCATGCTCCAAGGTAGTTGCATTTTTTCAATAACTCCAAAATGTAAATATCCATCTCTCCTGTTTTCATCCCATATCATCCACATAAAATTTGTAAATTATCATTTGATCAGCAGGACATTCTAAACCCTAGCTACTTTTCATGCATTTTCAGCTAATGCAGATCTTATGAAAATGTGGATTAAAAGGCTGATTTTTTTAAAAGTATGTAAATAATTGTTTCCACTCAAATATTGTAGACTGAACAGCCTTGGCCCAACACTGTTTCATAATTTTGCTTCAATGAGGGGATCATATCATTTGTATAAAAGTGCACATTGCCAAGGAATGGTGGAGCATGATTTGACTTGCAATGCAAATGGTAAATCCCAGCATTGATCAAGTATTTGCATAGTAAGTTGTTTATGTTTTATAACTTGTCACATTTTTCTATAAGAACCCTCCCACTGTACAAATATAAGTCATATGCCTATCCCTCCGCCTTTAAAATCTTTTATTTGTACCATAATAGTGCTCTCATCGAATGCAAGCCAAAGGTTTACCCTGATTCGGCTTCTGGCTCTCTTTCATCTCAAATATGTCACAAATGTTCAATATTTTGTTTAACTGTTAATTTGTTTGCATTGTGTGTTCTGTATTAATTTTTGTATGTAATTAAAAAGGTGTCCAAAATTACTATATATAAGTCAGTAAATGCTTGGGGGCTGGTGAATGCTCTGCCAAATCCGCTGAATATTTGCATCTATGATGCAAGGTATTTGATGAAAGATCAACATCCAGTCAAGTTTTTGTACCCTAGAGGGTGGTAACTGTACCACTACATGGTTTGGGTGTGGAGTGGTGTTACCGTATAGGACCACAGCAAACAAAATGTTAGTGTTAAGCTCGGCTTTCCTAAAAATGGTAAAGAAGTTGTATTGTAAGCCAGCTTGTTAGTGATTGGTTCTACTTTATTAGCTTTTGCATCGATGTTGGAATAAGGTTTGGCTGTGTGCGAGATATGGCTGTGTCAGGAATCTCGCTTGCTGAAAGCGTGACATCGCTCGAAACATACTTGCCTGCTTGGCCATTGCAGTGTCAAGGGGCTGTGTTCCTGAATGTTACCAAATTGTGCAGATGTTGGTTCACATGAGGCATGAGTTTAAAGTGGCCGTAGTGTAAGACTGCCTAAGGAATTTTTTTTTTCTTCAAATGATTGTTAGAGTACATGTATGAGTGTTCGCGTATGAGTTAGTGTACACTTTGTACCATGTGTGGCATATTCAACAAGAGAGAAGTCATTTATTGAATGTTATCAGCCAGTACCATCAATGCAACCAGAAATATATGGACAAAAGCCAACTGGAGCAACAAGCAAGGATGCCCACTTTTGGGTCATGCCAAGACTATCACCCACTCTTGTTTCTTTTGATATGTGTTTGTTAACTATTATTATTATTATTATTTCGTTATCTGTTCGTTATTCATATGATTCTTGGTTTATGAAAGAAACAGGCATCACACCTTCCTAGGCATAAATGTACCATCAACCATAGCTTTCCTTTCTCTTTCTGTTTGTTTCTTTTCCTTACTTTAATTTGATAACATTGGTACATGTTACCCACAAGATATCTCACTTTTCTTACAAGAAGACCAATCGCCTTGGATGGAAATGTGTTCATCATGATATTATAATTTCTAAGATAATTGTGGTATGCCTTTAAAAATAACTCCTGGTCTTAAAGTTTTGGTTGCATTCTAAGGAACGTCTTGAGATGCTCAGGAAATGCTCCTTTTAGCAATCTTGATGATCACAAGTCGCTCCTGTCTTCTTTCAAAGCAGGTATTTATTACATAGGTAAAGCTGACCAATGCAAGTGCCAAGAGCAGGTTGTTGGTACAGAAAATGCACTTGATTGTAAGATAAGCCCATGTGTAATTTTTAAATTTGTACACTTCAATGTGAAAATAAATTTTGTAAACAAGTTATGTATTTGTGTACTTTGTCACACCTTTCTATTCGATACCCTTATTCAGCTAGGTTTGTACTTTTGCCCAACAGACTTATCAAAACTCTTTGCATCACTCAGCTGCTGGGCTGCCATATTAGATGGTTTAGCCTCACACCATTCTGTTTCTACAAGACAGTAGCCTGCATGAATTCATTCAACGATTCGTTGACTGAGCGCCAGCCATCACCTACATTGTGGTTCAGTTTTCTCAAAAGACCCGCAAATGGTCCACATTTGTTGGAGTTGGAGGAAGGCCCCTAGTCCACGACTTAAAGGCCATAGAGTCCAATACAAGCGCCCGTTAGGTAGAGATTTTTCATAGTGGTAGCCTCGGGTCATGCTGACTCTCAAAAATGAATACGAATCAGCTGCGATTTCCGGTGTTGATGCGAGGGAACTTGAACCTGCAAGTGCCGGATCGAATTTATTAACTCTTGCGAAACGGTGTGTAAAAGACTACTGTTCGAGGGTGAATAACATAAATTGGTGCTTTTCACCTACTTCGCTTCTTATTTTTCTCTAGTTGTCACTTAATTTATTGTGGTTATTCTAGGATACATTGCATGGTGGGTGTTCTAACCTAGTTTGTTGTTGCCCAAATCGGTTGCTTGTTATGCTTTTCCCGCAGGATTCATTCAAATGTTTGACTGAAACACATATTTATTTTAGATATGTGATTTATTTTTTATTTCACTCTTTGCTATTCCATTCTGATTTATTTCCCTTCTGTGTGTTGACAGGTCCCTATTTGTCAAAATGGACAACGACTTCTCAGAGCTTCTCAGCCAAGCTGAGCAGCTTGCTAATGACATTGATGGGGTGGGAGAGTTACCTCGAGTAGAACGCTCGCTCAGGCAGGTTTTGGATGCATCAAATGATTTATGGAGTAAAGTAACACTTCATGAAGCCCCTGACATTCAGGCGTAAGTTCACGATTCAACATGTTACTGGTTTGCATTGACGTATATCGCTAATCTAACATTTTTATTTTTTCAAAGGCATATGATGCTAGCTTCCAAGGGAGTTGACCTTACTCAGCTGTCCCAGAAATTAGATACTCTAAGCACCAGGAAAACATTTGAGCCATTGGAGCCGGTTCCAGAAGCTGATATATCCAGCTATCTGAAAAACGAAGTGGAAAATGTTTTGCTATCTTTAGTTGAAGGAACCCACAGGAGGGTTCGTAAATTACTCTATTTTGAAAGTTGCTCAGGTTTATTTGCATTGCATTGACTTACTCTTTCCTCTTTAGGCATCTGCAGCTGCTGACCAGCGGTTGTGGGATAGTATCAGGCAAAACTGGTCCAAAGAGATGCGTCAAATGTTTAATGCTCTTCATGGTTCATCACGGCCTCTTGATTTACAAGGACTTCCTGAAGTAAGTCCACTTTTCCAAACGCAATTAAAAGAATATTTTTGAATGGCATAAAAATACTAAGTTTGTGCTTATTATGATTATCATTATTATTATTACTACAGACATCAACATTAGCAGACATTGCTCCAGTTCACAGTCGTCTGGATCATATGGAAATGGCCTATGCAAAGGAAGTTATTGATTACAACAACCGTATAATTCAAGGTGTTGTCAGACCTCAGTTGGTTCAGAAGTTTGCTACAGCTGCTGAATCATTCAATAATTTGGTAAGGTTGTTCTTTTTAACTTTTCATTTATTTTCTTTGTTGTTAAACTTATGAAGTGCCTTTTACTTTTGTATTTTAGAAAGTCAATGAGCTTTGGGAAATTGTGAGGTACATGTCTCACATTGCGCCACAGTTCAGAGACAACCCACTTCTTTTGAGGACTTCTTCACCCACTCAAAACCAACTCATTTTGCAAGCAAGAAAATATCTTGAAGATAGGTAATAGTTTTTAGATGAGACTTTTTCTCCTTAAAACTAAAGAACCTTCACTTGACTTATCTTTTAATTTTAGATACAAGAGATATATGACCAGTGTAGTTGAAGGAAATCTGGCTCGTGCCTGTCGAGGAGGAATACCTGGAACTCTATCATTAGTTCGCAGTTTTGTGGACCTTAGAGTGCTTGGTGGATTACAAGGAATGCTTGGCCTTGAAGATGGTCAAGTTGACAAAAAACCTATCTGGCCTCAACTTTACTATTGTTTAAGATGTGGTGATATTGATGCGGCACTGGCATGTGCCACTCAAGCAGGGTATGTTTTTTTTTTTTTTTAAATGTTATTGATGTTAATTAGCATCTTGCCATTTACTGATATAATTTTTATTTGAATGTAGATCACAAATGGATGATTTGTGTGCAATTCTGGGAGCTCTCAAGAGCAGCCCAGAACGGGCACTCGATCCAAGTATGGAGTCTACTGTAAGGTTCCAGTACAGATGTAACATTCGCAAGTCACCTGACCCTTTCAAACGGTAAGTTTGTAATGTATGTTGTATGGTAGTAAGATATTTTTTATTGTCAGTGCAAAGAGCTCTAATCTACTTCTATTTTTTTAATTTTTTAGGGCTGTCTACTGTATTTTGGGTGCATGCGACGTCTCCGATGAACACTCAGAAGTTGCTAAAACTGCTGATGATTATTTGTGGTTCAAACTTTGCCAAATTCGTGAAGGAGACCGCACTGATGCACGGTCTGGAGAAAATATCACTCTTCAGCATTTGCAAACACTGATCTCTCAAGACTATGGTATGCCTCAAGAAATTCATTAATGTTCTGTCTCAATTTTAAAACGATAATTTTATGATGATAAATTTATAATTAATTTACAGGTGAAACCCATTACAATGCACTGGAGCAGCCCCATGTTTACTTCCAAATGCTCTTTCTAACTGGCCAGTATGAACTTGCTTTAGAATTTCTATGGCGTATTGACAAATTGAAAGTTCATGCTGTACACATGGCTATAGCTCTTCATGAAAGCAACCTCCTTGCCATTCCTAATTCTCCTGAATCACCTCTTTGTATGTGGTCCTCATTTTTATTTTGTGAAATATCTAAATTGTTTTTTAGTAATGTACTGATTTTCTTATCTTCTCAGTGTGTGAGGATCCCTCTGACCAGAAACCTCACCGACGACTCAATTTAGCTCGACTTATTCAGTACTATGTCAGGAGATTCAATCTCACAGATATGAGGGAGGCATTACACTATTACTACTTCCTTAGAGGCATGCGGTTACCCTCAGGAGACAATCTCTTCAGGTCTTGCATCTCAAATCTATCAATGGAGTCGAGGGACTTTGGCACAATTCTTGGCAGGTTGGAACCTGATGGATGCAGAGCTCCTGGACTCATTGATATCTTTAATGGAGTGCAGGTATGTGTGCAATGTCAATTGACTGTTGATTATTTTTTTTCATATGTAGAGCAAATTATAAATTTCCTTCATGGACTCTTTGCAGGCAGAACCCAGTGAGATCATTGAGATGGTGGGATCAAATTTGGAAAAGAAGGGACTCTTTGAAGATGCATTAGAAGTCTATGATTTGGCTGGTGTAAGTTTCATTGTTATTTTCAATTCAAATGAAGTTTTTGTATCTCATACTAAGTTTTTTTTTGTCTGCTTTAGAATCATGAGAAAGTAATGAGTTTAATGAGTAGCTTACTAAGCCAAGTTGTTCATTTAGTAAGCCAGCAAGGCTCATTGCGATTCCGCCTTGCTGCAAAGGCAACAGATGTGGCTCATCGTATTGATGGAAACAAATTCCGCTGTTCTGATGAAACCTACCGCACATTCAAAACCCTGCGACATTTATTAGAATTCTTTGATAAATACCATGCTGGAGAATATGTCAAAGCTCTGGAGGTAAGGATTTTCAATGTAAACATATTGTGACATTCTTGGTCCATCTTGGGTGTTAGTTTATGCTTTACTATTTTGTTTGCTCCTTTTAGTTGATTGCTGAGTCAGGACTCATCCCCAGTAAAACTGAAGAGGTTGAGAACAGAGTTAATAATTTCCGCAAACTGGGTGATGAAATTTGCCACAACTTCCCACAAATTCTTTTGGCAACTATGACCATTTTACACTCTCTTTACAACAGAACCAGGTAGTGTATCAGAATCAAGATGTTGATCAAGGAGCGATGTAAATTTTAGCAATCAGTGTTATTTACCTGTAATTCTTTTTCTCACAGAGGGAATGCTAATATGAGTCTTAGCTCATCCAGACTTGAATATAGCATGACAGAGAAGGTAAATATAAGTTCCAGTTTCTCCTTGTCTTTGCTTTTGCACTTTTTATGTCTGAAATTTATAAGTTTCTTTTGTTTTTCCTTTACTTAGCCACTCCAGTCGTACAGAGAACAAGCAAAAGCCATCACAAGTTTTGCAGGCACAATGCCCTACAGACTACCTGGAGATACTAATTCAAAGTTGGTGCAAATGGAAATTCTGATGCACTAAGTATGCTTTATTCCATGGTTAACCACAGACAAATGAATTGCGAGTCAATACTTTATGTCATTAATTAAAACATAATAAGCATTAAACAAACAATTTTAATCATTGGCATTTTCTTCAATCCACTATGACTAGAACAAGAGCATGATAATGCTGTAACTAAAGAGGCCAACACTTCATTTTTTTCTTTTAGAAAATTGAGATCAGTTCAAAACTTTTAACACAATATTGAGAGTAATAGTATTACACAGAGGACACATGAATATTTAAGCCCAGGTCTGCAACTTTTCCTTCTTTTACCTGAAACAAAAACATTAATGTGGTGACTACTTGTCACATTCAGGAGCAGAAATGACAGTTAGATGTACTTACAGCTTTATAGTCAAGAAACATCTCTTTGAAGATTATGAAATCTGTGAAAGTGAAGAGTATTTCAAATACTTCTCCCTCAAGATCATCTTTTCTTTCCCTGCAACAAAAGAAATGATGAACCCCAGGTGTTCCATTCTTATCAAGTAACACAATGGTTTAGTCGTAGCTTACTGAAGCTGTGAGGTAAAGACGTCCATGTTGAAATCTCGCATGTTCCTTTTTAAATGGTTTTCAATATACTTTTCCACAACATCTGTCTGGGAATGTGAATTTAATATTATTGTATATTGTGACACATCATGATGTGTGACAGGTACAAACTTTGATTTTTCATATACTTACATACTCCTTGAAAATTTCCATATAAACCAATTTGTTTTCTTCACTATCATCAAACTCATTCCAGTATTTCTCCATAAAGTCCTTCTGTAGATCTTGAAATTGGGGATCTGAAATAAAGAACAACGGCTTTTGTCCATAATGTTCGAAGAAACCTCGCATTTCTGTAAATCCACACAAACATAATATCAATTGAATGCTTACCCATAAGAACATCTTCTATATGTCCTATAGCCTCATCAAACATATTTCCCTCTTGTCCACTGATGTCAATAGGTTCAATATCACCCTCCTCTAAACATAGATTTTCAAAGCCTTTCGAGCAACCTGTAAGAGATACAAAAGAGGATCAAACACTGTACATGTTGTATGGGGAAGTAATAACCAAAAACAGAAAGGAAGTTGAGATCACGAGAGAATCGCAATTTTACCTTTGCTTAGAGGGGATGTCATGATTTCCAATTCAGATGAAAATAATTGAATGGAAAACCTGTATTAAATGAAATGCTCAAAATTCTGTGCGCCTAGCACGAAATCACTTCAGACAACTGTGATAAACGATCCAATCTGGTTTCAGAAAGTACAATTATAACTTAAGGCAACTTGAAATTCACTCAAGATTCGGCAAAATTTTCACTCTACTCGTTAGTATTTTGATAATTTGTTATCTACATCCAAACAAACAAACAAAAACAAAACAAGTCAGCATCAGAATGGCCGGCGGTATGAGAAATTGTGTCTACGTTTTTTTAGTTATTTAAAAAAGTGCAGGAAAGTGGTCCGTTTTAAGCATTGAAATGAAGCACAAACAGGGATTTTATGATCTATGCGTCACTCCTACCTCTACATCATCTTTAGTTAGTATCCTGACAACTTTAGTTGAACGTAAGTGCCGTTTAACCTTCAGCTTTCCCCAGTTAAAAGTGACATGTGACTTCCAGGTTATGTTTTTATTCAAACTGTCTTGTTTTGCAAATGCCTATCATGTATTATTTTACCCTATTTTCAGTTGGATATCGTACTGTTGCGATCAACCAAATCGTGGAGGAGTCAGCTTTAGTTCAAGAAAAAAATAAGAAAAAGAGGAAGGCAGAAAACAATGTTAATCCTAATCCTTCTATCCCTCCTCCGATGAAATTGGATGATATTCCCGAGGCATTCCTGTTTTTTATCTTCAACTTTAATAAAAACGCACTTAATCTCTAACATATTCAAGAACTAAATTTTATTTTTTTCTAGGTTTTAAGGTCTTCCATCCAAATACTGCAGAGAATAACAATTTCTTTCTCAACATCGGATAATGCTCACAAAATGGTCTGTTTCAAATTTAATACTTGTTGAAACAACTTTTATTACTGGCTTCTCAATCAAATTTATTTCCATTTCAGATTTCCTCCGAAAATATTAAGAAATATGATATTATTGCCGTAATACCAACATCAAAAGCTGCCCTAATGGTAAGTCACCCAATGAATACTAATAAAAAATTTTTTCAACTCGTCTCTCTAGTTATTATTGTTGTTTTTAATTTTACTGCAGCATACTTGCAATACATTGGATGTGGACATAATATCATTTGATACCAGCATCAAAATGCCTGTACAATGGAATCGTAAACTATATAACTTAGCAGCTGAGAAGGGGATGTGGTTTGAACTGCCTTATGGCTTAGGTGTCTTGGATTCAACTGCTAGGCGTAACTTAATACAGGCTGGCCATTCTTACCATGCAATTGGCAAATCAAAGGTATTTTGTTGAGTCTTAAAACCAATTGCATTGTAAAATTAAAGAAGTTTCATTATATTTGTAAATTTTTTTTTTCTTTTCAGAACATTTTGATTTCCAGTGGAGCTCAAAACCCAATGCAGATTAGAGGTCCATACGATGTCATAAACTTGTATCCTTCTATAATAATTGATTCAAAAGATATTTTACTTGTGGCATAAGTAATTAGAATTTGTCTGATGAACATGTGGCATTTCCTTAGCAACTAATACAGGAGCCTTTTACTGGGGTTGAGTGAAGAGCAGGCAAAGAGTGCGATCACCAATGCTGGCCGTGCAGTGACATTGAGGGCAGGTAAGTTAAAGCCCTCGCTGGTTACTAGACATTATGGCATATTTTCTGTGGATTTTCCATAGGTCAATCACTTTTTTGACTGGTAACCAGACAGATTTGCTGCTTTTTAACTGTTATGTGAAACTAATTCTTCCATTTTATTTTTCTGAAGAAAGCAGGAGGAGGGGCAAAGCAGTGGTGTGTATCGAAAAAATTGTCTCTAACCAGCTTGAAGTTGTAGATGAAGAGGATAATTCTGATAATACTATCCTACCTGCGTGTAAAAAGAAAAAAACCTTGGGTTGATGCTCAGTTCCATGTTTTGATGTTTTATTTGAGGGGCTTTTTAAAGCCAGGTCTATTGGTAAGAAGTTTTCCAAATAAGGAATAAAATATTGTTTTATTTTCTTCCACAAGTTGTTACTCTTTTCACTCTTCTCCTTAAGTTATTTCATCAATAACATACATATTGCTTTGGTAAAAAAAAAAGTTTAAGTTCAGCCGCCTTTTCTGGCTGAAGAGCCCTTTCCTGTTTCCTGTGAGTAGAGAGGGGGGGGGGGGGAGAAGAAGGAGAAAAACACAGACATCAACATAACCTCAGGATCGCGTGATACGGTGATAACTAGGGAATTTCCTTCAAGTTATAAGCTGCAGAAAGCTAACAATGCTTTTGTTTTGTCCGACCTGTGGCAATACACTAGTTGCTGCAGAGGGTTCATCTCGTATGAAGTTCCAATGCAGTACTTGTCCTTTTAAATATGATGTGCAAAAATTGATTTCAAGAAAGACATATCCAAAGTTAAAGGCAAGTTGTGTATTTATTCTCTTGTGTAGTTTGCTTTGTGCCAACCAAGGGCTCAACCGTTTCCTACATTTTACAACAATACCCCCTTTGGTTATCTCATCCTTCCATAACTATGCATTCTTGGATATGTCATCAATCTGGTACTTTTTTTTGGCGTTCAGGAGCTCGATGATGTACTTGGAGGAGCTGCAGCATGGGACAATGTTGACTCGACTGAGGAGCGGTGTCCTAAATGTTCTCATTCTAGAGCATACTTTATGCAGATTCAAACAAGATCAGCCGACGAGCCAATGACCACATTCTATAAATGTTGTAATCATCAATGTGGTCACAGATGGCGAGAATGATTGAATACAAATTGGAAAGACTCTTTCATTAGTAAATAATTTTTAGCATAATTTTACTCTTACATCTTAATTTTATATTTTGTGAATATGACTATAATGAGTTATTTCTGTGTTCCTCTCATTTCGATTCTGCTATATTTGTAAACTCTTCATATCATCTTCATTATGTTCAGAATTTCAAAGATAAGCATGAAAATTGAAATGTCTTAAGTCATTCCCTACAACCCACATACAGTCGTAGAGTCGTAGAGTGCACTCTTAGGACTCTACCTACAGTCTTTTTCCGACCGGCAACAGCGCCGTGAGGATAGGCATCCCATCAGACAGGACTGGTGGGGACGGATGGATGGGTAGAGAGATAGCCTCAGAGGCTCTCTATGGATGGCGTGTGCCATTCAAGCACCTTTGTGAAGAGACAAAAGTCGTGTCATGACGTTCGTGTGGAGCTAGAACGAGGCGGCCCAGTCTGTTTCCCAAAGCCCGCCGCAGGGGCTGGAGGATGACCCACAGCTGCGCTTCCATTCTGCTATGGGTCTCAGTGGCGTCTGTGTCGGCCGCCAACCACATCAACTCGTACGCCGTAAGTGTCAAGTGTACCCACCCAGTCCAAGAGCAGCAAGCAGCGAAGGGGAAACCCGTCGAATAAGAGAAAGAGGGCGACGTTCTCGTTCGCAGGGACCATTCGACATCCACTTCAAAGAGGCGTTGCAATGCCCGCAAGGCACCGTCACCGCGCCCCTGCTGATGAACATGTCAGGGACGCTGCTCTCCTCTCGCACCCTCAACGGCATGGTCTACAACGGTGTCGCCTTCGTGGCAAGGAAGGTCACCAAGGGGGATGTCGGCGTGAGTGGATCTACTGATTCGTGCCACAGCCCTGTCGGGGTGGGATCTCCGTGAGCCCTGTAAGCTTATTGCCGTGACAGGTCAAGCTGGCCATTGCCAAGTGGGACAACGTGGCCGGTTGGAGAGAAAATTACTTCCGCCTTGATGGTGGGGAAGTTTGCTTCGCGATGAAGACCGTAGGGAAGGACGCCATGGCGGAACTCCACCGAAACAACCCCCGCTTCCCGACAGGCTGCCCTCTCCCAGACGTAAGTCTCGACTTCCAAGTTCGGGTCCCGCTCTTAGTTTCACGGTGAAATTTCACTACGTCATCCGCACATATTTTGTAGCTTCCGGTTTGACAAAGTTGAGCATCCAGATGAGCGAGATTGGCGCTGGTCGCGTGTCCGGTCTGGCAGCCGCACTTGATTTATCTCGACACGCCGAGCGTTAACGCGTTACGTGCGAGTCGCGCGGCGCGCTGGCCGAGTCGTTGTCGTCGTGTTGTCTCACCGACGCGCGAAGGGCGTCGAACTTCCACACGTGATTCGTAGACTCGCAGCAGGCGAGTCGGGGAAGGCCAGCCGGCGGGCTAGAAGCCAGAAGACCGGTGGAGGCGGCCAAAATTCTAGACGCGTTGAGCTCCAGTGTCGCTAAAGTGGACTCGAACCGAACGTGTGACCACACCAATGGATTGCTCTCCGGCGAACGAGGAATCCATTGGTGTGGTCACACGTTCGGTTCGAGTCCCATTTAGCGACTCTGAAGCTCAAAACGCGTCTGTAATTTTGACCGCCTCCACCGGTCTTCTGGCCCACTGTGCTGCACCGAGCGTGCTGCCTGGCTTGCTTGCACGGTCCGACAGGGCCGAACTGACACATGCTGGTTTTCACCGTTACAGGGGTCCTACTCGTTCCGAAATTTCAGCACCGCCGCTCTGTCTCGGTACGAGCATTTCCCCGTCTTTCCCTACGGCCGCTTCAGAGGCGATTTGGGATTCTACGACATGAAGTCCAAAGAAGTGGCGGGCTGCATCAGTGGCATCAGCGAGGTGGTACCAAAGTTGAAGAACAAAAACAAAAAATGAGTTGTTCAATTCTATTAATTATTTTATGTGCAGAACTACAGAAATTCACACTGCACAAGAAGTGTTTACAACTTGGCATAACAGGGTCAAATAAAAGCCGCAAAAAAATTGAAGAGTTCTGAGCACAATCAAAACATGGGTCAGATCTTAAAACTAAATTTCAGAGAGCAAATAATTCAGCAGTTAAATACATGGCTAACTTTAAAACACTTCCTCTACAGGGCATTTTTCCTTCTATTTCATTTATGCAAAATGTACAAATCAGATCTGGGTGTGTGACACACCCACAAGCAATATGAAATTAACTGTACAATTCTCAATCACATCAAACTTAACACTCACAGTGTTTTATAATAAAAGGTACATCATAAACAAGTTTGACAGATTAAAATAAAATATGCAATATGCAACTATGTGGACAATAAAAACAACAGGAAGACAGCATGTACTTGCTACAGGGATGATTTTAAATTAAGATAAGATACTTCATAATTATCTTGGAGGTAAGGAACCATCAAATAATTTCATTTAAACAGCAACATTACCACAAGAAACCGTGTGCAAATACATAAATTCATGTACTTCTGTATCCTGTACAGAATGGCTGCATAAATTGATATTAAATAAAATGATCATGTGGAGGAACCAGCAAAAACATTACTAGCAAAATAAAATAAAATTCATAGACACACAGGAGAAGGAAGTTGATTGAAAAATTTCATCGTGGTTGGGAGGATTTCTTCATTCACTCTTTTTCCTCTTGTAATTTCCATGGGGCTTATTCTCTGTGGCTGGGCGTCTTGGAGCATTGGTTGGTCTTGCAGCATTGTTAGGGGCACCAACCTCTGCAGAAATAAGAGATTATTTAAGAAGAAATGGAATTTAATGAATACTGATTCCAGCTGCCTCTGTGAGTTAACGCACCTTGAAGCCACCTGACTTGAGTGGCTGGCCCAATGCCCTTCTCATTTCGAGCTGAGATGCGGAACAGTATGGCAGGCTTAGTTGTCATATCAATGTGAGCCTTGCTTAGAGTGTCATTGCCCACTGAACATTGGTTTGCTGCTCCCTGATATATTCTTACAAAGGCCAGTTGATTGGCCCCACTCGACACCACCTGCTAAGGATGGAATTTGGGAAATGAAACGAGAACACCACCTTGAAGTTCAAAGAAAAGTCACAGAGAACTTACCCGTGAGGCATCAGTCGTTGCAGTTCTGACTGCAAGGTACACATGGTAGTCTTCAATCACACCAGATGCAATTGGTGGTGGCTCCCATGATAGATGTGCTCCATCAGCAGTTTTGGCAATTTTAATAGCTGAAGGTGCTCCTGGGAAGCCTGGCAGAGATGTCTTGAATGCAGCAACCTAAAAAAATGGTTAAAAATGAAGACAGCATTCCTACAGCAGAAACAATCAAAGCATCAGACAGAGTTGCATCAATTTCAACAAACCTCACTCCATGGTCCTCTGCCGCAAGAGTTTATGGCAGCTACACGGAATTTGTAGGCTTTTCCGGACTCAAGCTCAAGTTTAGCAAGGGCTCTATGATCAGGTAACGTGCTTGTAGTGATACCATCCCAGTTCTGGTCCCAACTTTGACCAGATCTGGGAATGTAATAGGTACGAACTTGGCAGTGGGTTCCTTTGCAAATACCAACATCCATCCACTGAGGCTCATCAGGGTTTTCCTTTTCATCTTTAATTTGGGGTTCATCCAGCTAAAAATAATTTAAGAAAAAATAAATTTGTGAACTTTACAAGTGACAAAAGTAGAAAATAAAACTGGCAAAATACACCTAATTTACCTCATTTTTCACTCCATTTGTAGGAGCCTGGTGACCCAAAGCAGCTGAAGCAAGTGTTGCAAGGGCGTCAGACTCATTTACAGCATCTGGTTGTTCAGGCTGGTCCTCAGGTACAGCATCTGAATCAGGTCCCTCCTCCTGTTCCATTTTCATTTCTTCCTGTTTCAGTAGGGCCGCCTGCAACTGCGCTTGGATTTCTTTTTGAACTGCTTGTTGAACTGCTTCTGCCTCTTCTTCAGGTTTGTCATCACCTTCCATTAACTGCATTCCCTGCAGAGCCTCTTGACCAGCCAAGAGCCGAACTGTACCATCTGGTGCTGTGGCAATCTTGCCCTCGAGTTCACTAAGTGCTCCCTCTAAATTGTCGCCAGCCGCTAAGAGCGTCACCCCTTCATCTCCACCTTCTGTGCCATCATCTTCTTCTAACCGTAGCACCATTCCTTCCTCTGATTCTTCAGCCTGGCCATCTTCTGCTGCAGCTTCTGTTCCATCTTCATGTAGTTGAGAGCCAGCTTCCATCTGATCTGCAATAACGCCAAGAGAAATGCCATCCGGTAAGGCAACGCCCTCTCCGTCCTGCTGCAGCAGTAAAGCTTCTTCGTCGCCTTCCGCCAGTTCATTCTCTTCTTGCAAGCCCTCAGCGGGGTCTGCTGTGGTATCGGCTTCGGCCACAATGGCTCCGTCGTCTTCTTCACCTTCAATATTACCCTCTCCAGGCCCATCAGCTTCCTCCATAAGTTGCTGGGGAGGCTCACTTTGCACAATCATCCTGTCAGGCTGCGACATAAAGTCATCACCCAAGAAGCCTTCAGAGGTTGATAACGTTCCTTGCGAAACCTCTTCTGACCCATCTTCACCTTCCAAAAGGGCAGCTGGCGCATCCATTGAGTCTTCAGGAGCAAGATTATTGTTTTCTGAATCCTCAGCAGCACCATCTGCCATTTCTATATCGTCATTATCCATCACTCCTTCCGCCAGTTCACCATCCGGGACCATCCCCATAGTCTCATCAACTAAATCGTTAGATGTCTCTTCTGGACCATCTCCAACAATGGCACTCAGGTCCTCGGATGATTTCTCAGTTACTGCCATTGCTTCTTCTAAAAGCATTGAGTCAGTAGTCTTTTCAGAATCCTCCATCTTCAGAAAATTATCTGAAAAATAAGGGAGCTTATAAATTTTTGTTTAAAATAATTTAATGGTGCAACTATTTCGAATCTTAAAAGCCCGCGCAAAAATGCACAGCATCATGTAAACAAACATTGTACTATGGGCAAAACAGTAAACAATCAATATCTATGAAGAGGTTAGGTCAAAGTAAATACAGCTTGCAATTTTCAATCAGCCATTTCCAGCAGGCAAATATCAAGTCAATATACTTTTTTTAAATGGGAATATGCAGTTTGTAATTCGAAAAGCTTCCATAGTTAGGCTATTAAGCGGCCCAACGATAAATACAGACGCCTCCAGTCTCCAATACAAACCTTAGATCAAAGATACATTGAAGATGGTTTCAACCGCAAACGCCTCCCTAGCAGAGTAGAGTCACAGTCTGTACAAGGAAAAAATTCAGCCTCCCGATTTCCTACCAAACAGAATAACTGGATAAATAAATAGTTTCGGCGTTTCTGTCATTCAAAACCTACACGAACGCAGTTTGTTATGGCGTCTTGCTTTCTTGCCGCGGCAAACGATGCAAAACGGGAAGGACTTCTACTGACAACACGATGAACTTTTTATCGATCTAAAATGCTCCAGAATGGAAACAAGCTGTTTTCTTTTGTATCCTAATGTAACAAATAGGTGTTTTCTTCTGTTTTCTGAGGACTGTTTGCTCGCGGTGCTCTGTCGCTCCCTTTCTAGTGCACTGTACTTTGCGCGTTGCAGTTGGCAGCAAAACAGTACCCCAATCGATCCAAGTCGATCCTCTCGAACGCCGTCTCGGTCGTTTTGGCGCTAATTTTCAACCTGTGCTTGCGCCCTGGCCATGGTGGCGCCACGTCGAGAGAAACAGAGGAAGGGAAAGAGACAGAGAGGCGTGAGAATGTGAGAACGCAGTGAGAAGCGACCTTTCCGTGACGCCAGTCCACACTCTCACCCTCACCGCCGCATTTTGCATTCATGCGAAATCGGACGCAAGCAGACGACCGTCGTCACGCGGGTCACGTGCGCCGTGCAGCAGACTGCTTCCACATTCCGAGTCTTTTCCATCGCTCTGTCTCTCTCGCACCCATACGGGACGCCATATGAGTGCGAGAGAGACAGAGCGGTGGAAAAGACTCTCGGGATCAGTGTGCAGGGAATGACCCCGAGGACCCTCTCCGCCCTCCCCTCGCGCTCTGCCCCCCTCCCCTCCCCGGGGGGTCCATCCCCGCCCTCCCCGCCGCGCCGGGGCCGAGGGGCCGAGCGAGGTGGGTTGTGGCGACACGCCGCGCGCCCGCTGGCCCCCGCTCATTCTAGGTCTGTCGCTCTCAGTGCGTAGAGCACAGACAGCACCGCCATCGCAGCCGTCGCCGAGCACCCAGAACAGTGAAAGCGTCATTCCAGACTCCACCAAGATGACGGCAGCCGCGGTGTGGACCCGATACAAGCCCGCGCAGGTGAGGTTGCCAAGGTTGCCTAGCTCGGCGGCGCGGACCCGCGGACGCAGCAGCTTGTGGGGCGCACTGTCCTTTCGCGTAAGACAGCAGCAGCTGTGGCTCCAAATCTCAAGTCCGCATCGTGGGTTTCCCACACGACTTGTGCCCGACGCACTGCAAGTTTCCAAAGCTTCCAGTCCGATGGCGAAAACGACGTGCACTTTGCCTCTCTATGCAAATCTGCCGAGGCCAGTCGCCGCACGTTGCTGCACTCGCTCTTTTTTAGCAGACGACACTCGAGGTCTGTCTGGCCTTTTAATTTACGGCGTTTCTCTGGCGTGCCCGGCCTCGGGGTCGACGGATTGACCGGGTTGACCGCGATTTACAGGCGAAGGTGAATTGATAAGGGCCACCTGTCGCGGACAGTCGCGGACAGGTCTACGGACAGGTTGGACTTTTATCGGCGTTACGCGGACGGTCTGATCGCTGCGCAACGGGTTCGGCGAGTCAGCCCCAGCCTCTACACTCTCGACGTCCTCCACAACACCTCTGACCCTGGCACAGTGCTGCCGCGCTACCGCAGCACGCTGGCTGCAGCTGGCTGGCGGGGAGGCTATTTAAACTGCGCGATGCAGCCGGGCGGGGAGACTTCTTGGGGGAGCAGGGCGGCGAACGGATGGTAACATTGATCGAGTGTCACTAGTGACACAGTTACTCTGCATTGTTGTTGTTTTTCTGGTCCATAATGTGCCGAGCAACAGTTTGTCTTCTGCTGAGTCACGAAGTTCGCGTTCGCGCGGCAGGTCAGGGAAGTCCACGCTATCATCGAGGGGCGCCTCCGAAATCGCTCCGAAAAGCGTCTGCGGATCAAACTGGCGCGGTTTCCGCCGACCTTTTTCTTGTTGTCGGTGCTCTTTTTTCGCATCGGAGTGCGGGACTTCCTGAAGTGATGGCATTTGGCGGTTCCTTGCGAATCGCGCCAGGCGGAGGCACGCGTTTTGGCGGCGCCTCGATCGGAAAGATGGCGAGAAAATGCACTCGATGAAATGGCCGTCCTGATAGCGTATCTCTCCTCCTCCTCCTCCTCCCTCTCTTTCCGCCTTCGGCACTTCCCTCCTGCCGGTCAGGGACACCGGCGTGGCGGCTAGGGACACGAGACGTAACCGCTCGGCCGCGGGACGCGGCGACGCGGAGAGGCGGAGAGGTCGGGGGAACTGGTTCTCGCCGCGATGACTCGGCCGAATACCGAACGACGGTGCGACTTGAGGCCAAATCGAAATGTCCAAGTGTCCACTGCGTTGGCCACTGTGTTGGCCGTGGCGCGGCAATTGAGATTCACTCTGAGTGGTGACCGCGCCGCCCGCCGCCCGGCCCGGTCTAGAGCGAGACCCTCCCGCCGCGGTGGCCGCGCTGACGTCATAACAACGTCAACCCGCGTGTCGTCTGCTCGGTGGTGCGCGCACACACGCCACACACTCGTGTATGGAAATCAGGTGCCCCGGGTTGTGCCCCGAAGTCGACCCGAAGTATCCCGAAGAGACCCGAAGTGCCCCCCCGCGGGTTGCAACTGGCGAAATGCAAATGCGATGGACGACGCGGGCTTACGCAAGCCCGGTTTTATTCCTTTCCCATAATTGCGTTTGGAAACGTTTGGGTTGCTACATTCCAGGGCGACGCGCCGCGACGCGCCGCGACGCGCGCGAGCAGGCCGTGCAGGCCCTGCAGGCCATGGTGATGGCGTCGGGGGAAGCCCGCGGTAGGCAACAGGCAACCCGCTGACTCGCCACGCACCAACGCTGTCTCTCTCGCACCTCGAGGGAGTGCGCCAGAGCGACGAAACGACTCTTCGGACTCGGCCAGCTGGAGGTCAACCCGCCGGCCTCAGTCTCGGCCACCGCGTGGGGCGGCGGAGAATGCACCTTGCGATTAATTAACAATTAATTGACGATCTCCCCGATTCGCTCTTGACCGCCTACCGAACCTTTCTCGTACAGGGCGCCCATGAGTGCGAGAGAGACGGAGCGACGAAGCACACTGTGCGGAATCGGGGCTTTTCCGCCACACTCGCGGCTCGATCCGCCGGAGTAGAGTCAGCATGTCGACGACACGTGAAAGGCGAGCTCTGTCATGACGTGCATCTTGGCGTGGCGCAGCATTGGCCCTCTTCGTCCAGGATTTTGAGAGCCGACTGACCAGGCGGTCTGGTTCAGTGTACAATCCCATGACGTCAGAGGCTGTTTTGCTCGAAGGAAATGAACCCGAATACCGAAGGGATAGAACCGGTTCCAACGTTCATCCGAATACGTTCAACTCGGAGGAAGGTCGCACACACCGGCACACCGCGGAGGTCCTCCCCCTCTCCCCCCAATCCGGCCGCGACCTTATCAGTGTAGCGGAACCGGAAACAGAATCAGATGGTCTGTGGCTGGCCTAGGCAGCCAGTGACGTCACCGACGTCACAGAGGGTTGGTCGGCTGGTCGTCGCGCAGTGCGAGGTTGCGACAAGGTGTGGAAAGGTGTTGAGCGGTCGCTCGCTCGCCTCGTAGAAAAGGCTGAAATTCCGTCAGTCTAGTCCGGCACGGTGAACGGAACGCAGTGGACACCGGCAAGCAGCGCCCCCTCGACGCGAGTTGACCAGAGTCGTATTGGTAGGGTCGCCCACACCGCCCTCCCTGGTGCGTCTAGTTCCAGAGGGCAGACTGAGGTAGGCAACCAGAAGCAACCAGTGGGCAACCCTTGTGACGTCGAGGAGCCTCGCGGCGTGAATTGTTCCGTTTCATAACAATGGCCGCGGTTTGAACAGGGCTCGTTAGATAACAGGGCATCGGAACCCCACCGGGCATGCCACGGCCTTACTTCTCGCACTCACGAGGTGCCGCCTGATCTAGTTTTCTATTGCGGGTGCCAAACAGTACAGTGCGCTTCGCCTAGCTTCGCTGCTCCGCCACCTCGCCAGCCGCCTGTGCCAATAGGGCCAAAAAGGTCTGGCAACGCTACCGGGCAAACATTGGTGTTTGTTCGTCAGATCACCTCAGTGTGCGGATATTTCATAACACGCCGTCGCGTTTCGCGACCTGCGACAGGTGCAATGGTGCTCTGACCCTCTGACCACTGTCGCGCCGCGTTTCGAACTTATCGCGCGCTCCGGCAGGGCACTAGGCAAACCTACGCAAACCTTGCTGAACCATATATCGTGCGTTTTATGCGCACGCATTCTCCAAAAGTAGAAAATTCGTTTCGAACTGAACTAACATAGTGTGAACCCAGTATTTCAAGGGATTCTCATGCTGGCTTTTTGATACAGTGTCATTAATTAAATTCTGGTTGGTTGGCAAGTTTGTATGACGATACTTGAGAACGCTAGTTGAACATCTCAAAAGGCTCCGCCCGTTTCTCAACCCAAGGGCGATCAATTTTAATTCCAAGAGAGAGAAAGTGAGGGGAAAGTTAGGTAATTTCTATGTGATTCCTAAGACACCTGAATTGTTGTGTAGGAATGTTCAGAGATTTGTGCGAACTTTCAGTTAAAGTAGCATTTTGGGTGTTATTTTTGTTGGTGTGCCTCTTGTGCTGGACAACTGGGCGCAGTCGTCTGCACTGTCTGCTTGTCAATGTAGTCTCAGTAGACTTCCATGTGTTTAAAACAAGAAGAATGCGCAAAAAACGTCATGACTTCATATTTATTGACTTCCATTGTACTGAACTAGTATTCTGTCTTGTTTCAGTTAGCTCAACATAGCCGGAAAATCATCTCCTGCTTGAACTTACCAGGTATGTCAATGCTCCCTGTTATGAATAAAATTGTTGATTCACTGTCCCTTTTATCAAAGAAGCTCAAAATTTAACATTTTGAAATTTGTGATTCTTCAGGAGCAGACATGCCGTGCCCGTTCTTAACTCGTCTGTCCAGCACATATGTGCGCAACTATGGGACCTCTCTTCTCAAGACATATGGACAACATTGCCCTGTTGTATCAAGACTTGCAAGCTCCGTGGCCTCGACTGATTCCAACACTGCAAACAATGAAGGAGGTAGGCTTTGTCATTTTAATTGTCCTACAAATTTTGGATGTGAGTGATAATTTAATAATAATGTAATAATTTAATTAATTCTAGCTGCTCAAGCCATGAAGAAGTGTCCCTTCCTTGCCGAAGTGACCCCTCTTGTGAAGGAAGCTGGCAAAGAAGACATCATCGAGTCTACAGCCAACTCGCATCCAGGTACTTCATCATCATGTCGCATATCCATTGTTGCTCTCCATGCATGATGTGTGCTAATAGCTTTTGTGGTTCATGATTAATTGATTCAATGTTTATCTCTTTGTTCATTCAAAAATCAAACTAAAATGAAAATGCCTGGGACATGGTTGCTTGAATTGGTGCCTTTTTGGCTTGCAGTGTGGGTTGGGCAGGAAGGATCGACAGAGGAAGCTGCATCTGGTGTGGGATCTTTGCCTGGTGTGCCCGAAGGAAACATGAAAAATGTTGCCAATAACAAACATGGAAAGTGTCCTGTTCCTCATGGAAAGGGTGGTGAAGGTGGGCTCTCTAGTACTGCTTATAAGTGCTTTTATTTCTGTACCTCTATATTCAGACTTTCATTTACTGTCTGCACCTAGCTCTTGGAACTAAACAAAGACAATAATTCATACTCTTTTAGATCATAAAAATTAATCCCACTTTGTAGCACAGTGAGAGGCTGTGTTTGTACATTAAAGAATCCTACACTCTGATCCTTTATTTTACAGATGGCAAGTTTGAATACGAGGAGTTTTTCCATGAGCAGATAATGCGCAAGAAGCATGACCACTCCTACCGTGTTTTCAAGAAAGTCAATCGTTTGGCCTCGGACTTCCCTTCTGCTCTTGAGTACAGCTGGGGAGAAAAACCCATCACTGTTTGGTGTTCAAATGATTACCTTGGTATGAGTCGCCATCCGGAGGTGAAGGGTGCTGTCAGGTAAAGGAATAGTTTGCAGCATTTTGCTCAGAAACAATTAATTTTGAGGATATTTTGTAGGAATTAAATATAATTATTCTTTTTGCTTAGGCATGCACTTGAAACCTATGGAGCTGGTGCTGGTGGCACCCGCAACATTTCTGGAAACTCCCTCTTTCATGAAGGGTTGGAAGATGACCTGGCAAAGTTGCATCAGAAGGAAGCAGCTTTGCTTTTTACATCTTGCTTTGTTGCAAATGATTCGACCCTCTTCACTCTTGCCCAAGCGCTGCCAGGCTGCCATATCTTCTCAGATGCAGGGAACCATGCATCCATGATCCAAGGAATTAGGAACAGCCGTGTTCCTAAACACATATTTAAGCACAATGATGTGGCTGATCTTGAAGCAAAATTGTCTGCTGTAAGTTTATCATTTTAAAAAAATAGGACGGTTGTTCATTTGAATCAGACCATTATGAACTATGAGTGGCCAATTGATAAAATGCTTATTTTGTGTTTAGGTTGATAAAAACCTTCCAAAGATTGTTGCATTTGAAACTGTGCATTCCATGACTGGGGCTGTGTGTCCCCTAGAGGAGTTGTGTGAGGTTGCCCACCATTATGGGGCTCTCACTTTTGTGGACGAAGTGCATGCTGTGGGGCTCTATGGTGAGCACGGAGCCGGCATCGGGGAACGAGAAAAGCAGCTGCATAATATGGACATCATTTCTGGAACTTTAGGTAAGAATTGGCAAATTTTATCCACCTTGAAAAGAAAGAGCTAACAAGAACTATTGTCTATGTCAATTTTATTTGTAATTTATTTTTCTAAAATAAACAATTTTTAGGCAAGGCATTTGGCAATGTTGGAGGCTACATTGCTGGAACATCCAACCTTGTGGATATGATCCGTAGCTATGCTGCCGGTTTCATTTTCACTACTTCTCTGCCACCTACTGTTTTGGCTGGAGCAAGAAAAGCTGTTCAGATCCTGGCTTCTGAAGAAGGGCGCGAGTTGCGTGCTCAACATCAGGAAATAGTCAGATACCTTCGATCCCAGCTCAAAGCAAATGGATTACCAGTTGAACACACACCCTCTCACATCATTCCAATTAAGGTGAGTCTTATAAACTGTCAGATTTATCTCATTACGGTTGAAATAAAACCTGTTTATTCATATTCAAATTAATTGTAGATCGGAGATCCCCTTCTTGGTTCAAAAGTCAGTGATGAATTACTCCGCAACTATGGACACTATGTCCAAGCAATCAACTATCCAACTGTTCCTCGAGGACAAGAAAAGCTGCGCATGGCTCCTACCCCACACCACACAAAGCCAATGATTGATCGTCTGATTGGAGACATGCTCCAAGTCTGGAACAAGCTTGGGATGCCCCTGTCTCAGGAAACCTGCCCGAAGGTACTATATACTTAAGGAACTGCTCAGTTTGGTATTAACTATAACTTAAATTTTCTAATTTTCTTTTTCTATTTCCTTTTTTACCAGTCTTGTACATACTGCCAGAAACCATTACTGTTTGAGCATTTTGAGGCTCGTGTTCGCAACTCTCAAAATAGCTGCAAGCCCTTTTCACCTTGTGAATTACCCAACTGCCCTCAAATGATCGCAGCCGTCAACTGAAGTCCCAGCTCAATACCCTGCTTTCCAAGCCTTTGATTGGAAGAATAGGATGATTGACTTTTGAAACATATTGTATCTCATTCATTGCTATGCCTGTTGAGGTTGATTGTACACTTTGGGGAGATAATTTTAATTCTGACTTAACACTGTATGTCTAAAGAATTGCACATGTAGAGAGTGAGAATGTAAACCTCCTTGCCTGTTCTGTTGTCATTCCATGTATTTATGAAATTGGTGTATGTATACTCTGGCATTGTCTCGGGTAGATTATTGAGTGCCATGCACTTGGGGTTTTAAAAACCCTGTATGAAATGGTACAACTATTTTTATGTTGATTTGAGCACTGTAAGTAGTGGTGTCAGTTAGGCTGGTCCTACTCTCACTACTTTCAAATAAACAATTTATAGCTGATGTGTAGACATGATTTTGTTGTGTGATAAAAGCAGTGATAGACTAAATTTGGAAAAATATTATGGAAAAATTACTTTGCTTGATAACATGGCATTCTATCTCTTGGTGTTGGTTGTAATTTGAGTGAAAGAATTGCTGTATCTAGAAGCATGCTTTCGAAGGATTGGAAAAATGATCAACTGCCTACCAGCTTTGATTGGGCTGAAGTGGCTAACTAGTTACCTTTAATGACATTGACTAATAAATACCGGCAGTATACCAGATCTGAGTTACTATTTATTTCCCCAACAAATTACACTCTCTCAAATATCACAGGACAGAGACTATTTGCTTACTTTTTTAAAGGTTCATTTCTTTTAATTAATTGTTTGGGAACTTGGAAAGGGTTAAACTTGGCAGAGTCCAGGATTTTCAGTCCTTCTTCAAGTTCATCATCTTCATTATCAGAGAAGAGCTGAAGGTTAAGTTGGAAAAGACAAATGAAATCAAAGAACACCTTAAAAAAAAATTAGATTGTTGATGTTAAAGAACTTACATATCTGGTCTTTCCATATGTGCGGAGTCTTTCCCCCTTGAAACGCCACTGAGGACGGCCACACAGCAAAAATTCAGTCTCTTTTGCCACATTGGAATTATCAACAGCAGTTGATAGACGCTGCAATGATTCTATTAAAAATTTTGCATCTTCCTTTTTTAAGTTTTTTGATGGCTGCCCAAGCATCATATTCTCTAAAAATCCGTAGACATTTCTGTCAGGGAAAAATGAAGGGGATGCTGGTCAGCGAGCAAACAAGGCCCTTTTCAATGCAACACATACATTACCATTATACTTACTTAAAATTAACCCCAGCACATTCATGAGGCTGAGGATGATCCTCATACTTGGCAATTAAACTCATACATTTGGGAAGCATACGCACATGAAGTTCCTCCTGAGTACCATGCATAATTTGAGCTTTTTCCTCGAGATGCAATAGATCATCTAACCATTGGTCAAGCGCAACTTTCTGACGGGCCTGATACTTAGGACCCCTCTTGTTACCGCCTAACTCAACAGTTGTCAGGGACTGTTGTGCTTTCCTCTGCAGTACTAAAATTCTTTGCTTCACCTGAAACAAACACAATCACAATTGACAATGGAAAATGAAACAATAGGTGGCAATGACGTTAATTTAATTGAATTTCTGGATCATGCGTCAAAGTTACCGCGCAGGACTAAAGTAAGCCCGGTTTGCGACATGGAAAACAAACCTGATACTCGTTTCTGGTGGGTACCAATGCGGTTAGTTTGCTTATGTCAACAGGGCCATGCTTCATCAAAGCCGAGAGTAGCTGTGCGTCCTCCATATCAGAAAAGGCCCCTCTCGCCACTTTGCTGGGGACAGGTGATTCCATGTAGCGCAGAGGTGGTTCTCGAGGTCTTTTACGGGACGACATTGTCCTAAGGCAAATGCTTGGAAACAAAACTAATTTTTGAAAAATTTAACGGTAGCCTGAAAAGGAAAAAAGAAAGATCAGAAGCAAACACCAAAAAATTGTGGAAACAAGAGCCTGAAAAAAGGCATCTAAGTAGCAGAACAGTTGCTCTAAACACAGTTTACCTTTGTCACCGAACCTAACGTTGACAGATGTATTTACTGAATACGGTCTGAACATACAAAATTACAAACGTAAGTACTCAGTTAAACTACATAGCCATTTCATTTGACTTGACAGACAAGACAAGACAAATTTGTTTTGTTTACGAGCTGTCGTTCGTTCCAACCGCGAACAGAAACTGTACAGTAACGCACATTATTTGGCCGGACCGGAGAATAATAATATCAACCCACAGTGACCTGATTCCGTTTCAAAATAAAAAATAAAAAAGATAAATAACAATTTAAAAAATCACAAAGTATTAGGGTAGCTGCAAAACTTTGTTTAAAAAATATCACTTGTCCACTAGCCGTAAAATAGAAGAACAACAAGACAAGGCCTCTAAAAACCGGAACCAGTAGCCTACAAGGCGGAGTCGCCGCAGAGGAACGAATTTCGGATCTTCGTTTCCGGTACTCGGTCCTAGTAAACATGGTACGTGGTGCACGGCGTATTTGTATCTATTTTCATCGTAATCTACCGTCTAGATTACCTTTTGAACTTAATTTTAATGTCGAGCTTGAATATTTGATTTATCAATTTCTTTCAGGTCCCTTACATTGCACTTTCATTTTATGATTTCAGGGTATTGATATCAATCACAAGTACGACCGCAAGGTCCGTAGGACCGAGCCTAGGTCCCAGGATGTTTATTTGCGGCTTTTGGTTAAGGTAATACATTACCACATTTACAGTTAATTTTTCTTAACGGGAAACTCAATGTCGTTTTCCTCTGGAGTTCCTTTAGTCTTTACTTCACTTCGTTTCTCAACTTTCTATGTGCCCATGATGCCGTTCAGACGTGTTATTCTATGTCAGTTTTCTCGTGGTGTTCGGTCAACGCAGCCTTTTTTACGGCTGCGTCTGTTATGTTTTAGCTTGTCCTTGCCTATATTACTCTCTTTAAGTCGTCTTTACGCAGTCTGTTTTGGTCTGCCGCCTGCCTAACCTGGCACGGTTAGGTTATGTTCATTGCGTCGACCGGTTAGGAGTGCGACATGATGGACATGTCATATTCATCGGCCTTGGCAACATTTTGCTAATATTTGGTTTGATTTTCAGCTGTACCGCTTCCTGGCCAGGAGGACAAACAGCAAGTTCAACAAAATTGTCCTGAAGAGGCTGTTTATGTCAAAGATTCACAAGCCCCCAATTTCCGTTGCGCGCATCGTCCGCTACATGAAGAAGCCCGGCCGTGAGAACCGCATGGCTGTCATCGTGGGAACTGTCACTGATGACCGTCGTCTCTTGGACCTGCCCAAGCTTTCCGTAAGTCTCATCTGTTGTTTGTGTCAGCCTCTGTACTGTCAGCCTTGGCAGTTGCATAAGGAGTGAATATGATGTCAACCCTGTCGGGTGTCAGCTCGGTGTTTTAAGGCTCTTTGTATGAAATGTGATATATTCTTGTTACAGGTGTGCGCCCTGCGTGTCACTGGTAGAGCCCGTGCTAGGATCCTGAAGGCTGGTGGTGAGATCATCACCTTCGATCAGCTTGCCTTGAAGGCACCTACTGGCAAGAACACAGTTCTCATGCAAGGTAATGTATATGTCCGTCAGGATTTGTTTCCCTGTTGCCTCTCTCTTGGCATGCCTTTGCATTTTATAGTAAGGCATGAATGACTATGGGAGGGAGAAAAAACCGAGTGAATTTATTCCTTCAGTGTCCACATTTCTAGTATCTGGATACTCTGCCCAAGATTCTCTACAAATTCTTAAATAGTCCTCGGATTGTAGGACCTGTTCTAGGCCTCTCTCTTGGCATGCCTTTGCTCTTATAGTAAGGCATGAATGATAATGGGAGGAATAAAAAACCGAGTGAATTTATTCCTTCAGTGTCCACATTTTTAATATCTGGATACTCTGCCCAAGATTCTCTACAAATACGCAATAGTCCTCAGTTAGATTGTAGCACCTGTTCTAGGCCTCTCTCTTGGCATGCCTTTGCTCTTATAGTAAGGCATGAATGATTATGGGAGGAATAAAAAACCGAGTGAACTTATTCCTTCAGTGTCCACATTTTTAGTATCTGGATACTCTGCCCAAGGTTCTCTACATTTAAAAGTCCAAGTGAAATAGCTAGTTGTATTTTTGTGTGCATTTTCCTGGCAGTGTCTTGTTTATTCCATGTTCCGAACAATAGTTTGCTTTGTTTTAATTGAATTAAATCTTCTTTTCAGGTTGCCGCAACGCCCGTGAGGCCTGCAAGCACTTTGGACTTGCTCCTGGTGTTCCACGCAGTCACACTAAGCCTTACGTCAGATCTAAGGGCCGCAAGTTCGAGCGTGCCCGTGGTAGGAGGAAGAGCTGTGGTTACAAGAAGTAAACAGTTGCTGTTTTGTGTCATTCTGTTCAGAACCATTAAAGGTGTGAAGGAGACAAGTCAGTTTGAATTTATTCACATTTCCTAATTGTCCTTAGAGCCAGCACTGATCTAGGTTGCTTCATGAACTGTGTTGACATGAGAAAGGGTGCCCTTTCTCATTGTGTACGCAAAATGGTCAGGGTCAAGTGCCTTGATTTCAAATTTATCTAATTAGCAGCTGACTTAAAAGCTTCATGTATCTTGTCAGGAAAAAGCTGTATTTCTAGTTAACCATTCTTGGCATTGAGTATTGAATGCACAAAAGCAATGGCACTGTTGCACGCTGTGGAATTTGAAGCAGGTGGTCACCTGTCTCATAAGGGCAAAGTAAAAATGAGAGTGGATGTTAGTGCTGCACTGTAACAGCAGTATCTGAGCAGTATAATTTTCACGGGGGCAAATTTTTGCAAACAAGTTAACTGCTCTTCAGTATGAGCAATGCTCGGACATCTTTCAAGGGCCTTTTAATATTTAGGGATTGAAGTTATAAAAAAAATAGTGGGCTTGGGGAAATAATGGACTCTACTCGGATTATGGGTAAAGTGATTTATGTGACATCAAAATTAAAGTAGAAGACAGGCTCAGCTGTCAACAAGCCAGGTACACAAAGCAAAGCATGGACTTTCTTCAAATAAAGATAATTATTCTTCAGTAGACTCAGACATTCAAAACTTGGCCCTGCTTCTCCAGCTCCGCCCTGCAACAAAACGTTTGCCATTTGTCAACCTAAAGAAAGCACCAGTGAAACCATCTTGGAGAAACGCACAACGAATCTTACCTCAACTGTTGACTGAAATCATCTTCGACATTGTCATCGTCCCAATTATCCTCCCACACACTGATGTCTTCTTCATCTTCGTCTCGGGCAGTCCAATCTGAAACAAGAAAACGAGAGCTGCAGACAGGGAAAAAGGGGGAGAAACCCCTCATTCAACAATGAATGAAACTAAAGCTGACAGGCGTGTAACAGATAACCTCTACAGAGAACGTGAACGAAATCTAGCGCAAAGAAGTAAAACGACGTCATGGAAAGTTGAGAAATTACATAAACCGCAGAGTGAACAAGTCTCAAAATTGCAGAAAAACAAAGCTGTTTGGATAAAATATTGCGGGGAAGCAGAACTAAAACGGGAAACAAAGGGAGTTGGGTCGGCAACTTTGTATTCACCTTCGGTGGGAAATTCTTCAAATTCGTCGTCTTCTTCGAGGATGCCAAGATCAACCTTGGGTTTAGCCTCAGTAGACGCTGGTGTGGTCGCCATCGTTCTGTCTAAACACTAATCAATCACGTCTAAAAGTTAGAAAGGAGTACGATGACAGATAAAAATGCGTTTTCACTCACAACACAACAAGAGTATGAAAATTTCAGGATTCCGGGACTACCAAAGCACATGATCACTAAACGGCAGATGGCAGATATCTCACTCTTTCTTGTTGCATCTTTTTCGTCCCAGCTATTATCCACCCAAATTTTTAAGAGTGAAATCTATTAAAAAAATGCAGATAGAAGTACTTTTAATCGAGCTTTAGAACCCTTAGCCGAGTTTGTACAATGCTTTGCGCGATCTCATGTGGTCACACATCCCACGAGACTCCTCCCTTGTAGACGTTCTCTTCTCGCAGTGAAAGGAAATATTAATAACCATAAAAAATCTCCACATAATTTTGTCTTGAAGCCTTTCAACGCATTTTAGGTCGGTCCCTTCAATCACTCCCAACTGCGATGCCCAAAATGTACCCTTCTTTATCTAATAGTTGAGTTTCTTTTGTGCTCACGTTCGAATCATAACAAAGGATTCGTGGAAAGGTTTTGGCTAACCTGAATTTAGTGCTTGGAATTTGTTGAGGCTAAACCATGGACGGGTGCAACAATAATATACATGAGTTATTGTAAATTTATGTCCTCCTCTGACTGTGAATAGAATCCATCAAGAGAATGTCTGAGTTTTGCTACCCAAGGACTCTTACTTTGTGGACGGGAGGCGGCTCTGGACTGAACTGAGACATGAAACGTAGGCCTGACCTGCACCCCACAGAGCACCTGCTATCGCCTAGTCCTAGTATTCATTAAATAGGTGGTGGTCGGAGGCTGGTTGTGCTGGTGGTTTTGGGGCGGATTATGTCAGGTGTCCATCTGAAAGAAATATCGAGAGCAACCTGTGCAATTTTGGAAAGCACGATGCCCAACACAAGAGCCCAAACTTTGGTCTACAACCTCAACGGGTCCAACGGTGCAGGTGAGACGTGCCTGACACATCTTTCAGAGAACAGAAACCACTTGCCTCCCTTGAAAGTGGTGCAGGAATCTCCGCTGGCGACGCCGCAAGACTCTCCCTTGACGACGCCCCAGCAGCCGCAGCAGCCGGCCGCGGCGAACGCCAACGCCAACGGGGAGGGTCCGGGTCAGCCTGCAGGTGTCCCCACAGTGCTGCCTGCACTTGCCCTGGCCATCCACTACAAAAGCACCTCAGCACAAGAAGACCCAAACAGCCCGCAAACAGCTGCCAACAAGAATGCTAACGCTGTTGTGAAGCCCAAGGCCATTGCAGCAACACCGGACCAAGTTATGAAACTGTATAGAAACAAATTGATGCCATATGAACATTATGAAATTTATAACTACAATGAAATTTTCTTCATCGGTGCAAATGCTGAGAAAGTTGCGGGCATTCCAGGTGCTCCTAATAATTGTGGATACGATAATGAACAAGGTTCATACATTCATGTTCCACACGACCACGTTGCCTACAGGTACGAGGTGTTAAAAGTTATTGGCAAGGGTAGCTTTGGTCAGGTTGTCAAAGCTTATGACCACAAAACTCATGAACATGTAGCTCTGAAGATGGTTCGTAATGAAAAGAGGTTTCATCGTCAAGCGCAAGAGGAAGTAAGGATTCTGGAAGACTTGAGGAAGCAAGACACAAACAATACAATGAACATAATTCACATGTTCGATCATTTCACATTCCGGAATCATATGTGCATTACATTTGAGCTGCTTTCTATTAATTTATATGAACTCATCAAGAAGAATAAGTTTCAAGGCTTCAGTTTGCAACTAGTTCGCAAGTTTTGCTACTGCCTGCTGCAATGCCTAGACGCCCTGTATCAGAATAAAATTATTCATTGTGATATGAAACCAGAGAACATCTTATTAAAGCAACAGAGCCGCAGTGGAATAAAGGTAAAAATTTCACTTAGTGTTGTCTCGTTTTGTATACACTGGGTTACATGCATGCTAACGGTATTGCCACTTGTACCTACAACTTGACTAAGTGAAACTTTTCTGTTTGATGCAGGTCATTGATTTTGGATCAAGTTGCTACGAACCTCAACGTATGTACACGTACATACAGTCACGTTTCTACCGTGCCCCTGAAGTTATTTTGGGGGCTCGATATGGGATGCCCATTGACATGTGGAGCCTGGGGTGCATTCTCGCTGAACTGCTCACTGGAAGTCCCTTGCTGCCTGGAGAAGATGAAGGAGATCAGCTCGCTTGCATAATGGAGCTTAGAGGTATGCCTCCTGGGTCACTCATGGATGCAGGAAAGTACACCAAAAACTTCTTCAGCTCAAAGGGTTACCCACGTTACTGTTCTGTCACCCTCCACTCTGATGGAACTGCTGTGTGTGGGGGTGGCATGTCTAGGAGGGGGAAGCCTAGAGGGCCACCTGGCTCAAAGCAGTTATACATTGCTTTGAAAGGTCGTGGTGATCATCAGTTCATGGACTTCTTGAGACGCTGTCTTGAATGGGACCCAGAACAAAGAATGACTCCCTACAGTGCTCTGCGGCATGGATGGCTCCGAAGACGCTTACCGAGGGCACCTGATGAGAAAACAGAATGTCAACCATTGCGTACTTCTGCCTCATCTTCTAGGAATTCAGGCAAAACAAATCCTTTAGGTAGCAGCTGCTTATCAACTAACAAGATAAGCTCTGATGATCGGGAGCGCGATCGCTCGAGCACCATGCATTCCCGTCATTCTCACCAGTCACATCAATCGACTAAATTGCCTCAGATTCCCAACAGCTCATTCTCATAACGATGTGTGATCTCGGAGAGGATGCTTGCTGCTCCTACATAGGTCTGTTTGTATTATATTTATAGCTATAAAGTTTTAAGAAAGATTTTAAACTTAAGATCTGCGATCTCATGAATACAAGTTGCTGGTGTGCAGGCTTCACAGGCTTGCCAGCATACTAGCAAGCTTGGTTATCTATTTAAAGTATATGCTTAAAAGTGACAACAGTGATTCAATCTGTCTGGTTGATCTTGCCTATCATAGATTTAGTATTACATGTTTTCAAATGACTTCGACAACTTGCAACATTAGCAAGCAAAATGTTGTAATACAATGCTGTGACACTTGCAAGTCAAATCAATTTGTTGTCAAATTTTTGATTCTTATCATAGTCAGCTTATTGAATTCTGTTTAAGATTTTTAACATTAGAATGTCTGAATTAATTTTATCACAAATATGTGCAATGCTCCTAAGCCCAGCAAATCTTTAAAATTTTCCTGTTTTAATGAGATAATTGCAGCATTTTACTAAAGAAGCTTTAAATTTGTTATTACCATTGAGCCTGTAAATGACACTGTTTGCAATACTTAGCAAATAATTGAATGTGATAATGACCAACTTGCATGTTTTTTGTTTTTTTAAATTTCTTACATGCTTGTATTTGTTTTGTTTTATGTGTTTTCACTGCCGTTTTACTATTGTACAAAGCACAGTTGTTTCATTTTTGACTTGACATATTCTGATCGTGAGTTTTTAACCTGACAAAATGTAAACCCAATTTGAAGCTGTCTTGAAATTTTTTGTAGTTCGAAGTTGTTTGTTTCATGGGATTCTTAAAATATGGCTGTTTTTGTGTGTTTGAATGTTCCTACATTATACTTGTGTTTTTGATTATGTTGCATAATGTGTGCACAGTTCTCAAAAGTCTCCCATCAGAATTTTGTCAAATAACGTGACTCGATGTTCAACACTCTACATCGACAAAATCCAATTGCTGTGCTGTTTCAAGTTCCATGATTGTTGCTTTTTTTCTTGAACTTCATAAATAGGACTTCAAATTACTACATAACTGTAGTGAATCGTTGTCTCACCTTACTTAACAGCCACCTGTCTTTTAAGTTATTTGATGAGGTCATCTGATAAATTTGGCTTGTGGGATTTTATGGCACAATTCCTTTTAGTGAGGACTTTTTATGACTTTATGACAGTTTGTTTTACTTCCTTAATAAGATGAGCGTTCCAAATTTTTACCAATTTGTCTTTGTCCAATAAATTTCAAGAAATTTTATTTGGCCCTCAGCGGTTACATTGCCTGTACTTCTTTATTGTGAATTTTCATCCCTTTCTACTTAAGTTGTTTTGTTACATATCCTGAAAAATTAAGTTTTATCTATCACTGACTCATAATGCATTAATTTATGTCCTTAAGTTGCCATTCAATTACAATGTTGATGGTACTTTGTTTCATTGATTATAATTGGGTAAGCACTCTATATACAGTAATTTGTTTTGAACAAGACAGTTATTGTGCCCAAGATTGAAAATTTGGTCTCTGTTTTAATGCATAATAATTTTTGATGCTAACAATCAGATATGCTCTCTTCACTTTACATGCCTCAATTTTATTTCTTTATCCTAACTTTCAGTTAAGTTTCTCATATATTTGGAGAGCTTAAGGTTTGAATAGGAGTAGATTATAAAGAAAACTGAAAAGACCACTGACAAGTGGTTTGAAGGCTCAATTCTTTAATTTTCTTTGTTGGTGTCTTTGTTTTTTGTTTTTTTTTTCTGCACAAAGGAAATGAGGGACATAAGTGATTCAGACCTAGTCTTTTGTTTCAAGACTTAACGCTCTGTTTCAGGACTGTGAGCATTGCTTCCTATATTATTCGATGTGATTTTGAGTGTTTTCTGTTTGCTGCTCCTCGGACATTTGATTGATTTTTAGGTGTGTCATGTAAACTTTGTCATATTAGGAAACCTCAAGTAGCAAAAGATAGCAGGAAATAGTCTGATTTCGTTTTGGTCAGGAAGTTTGGAAGGACTTCCAGGACCTGTTTTTTTTTTTTTTTTTTGTGGGAGGCATTTAAGTTCCTATTTACATTTTCCCATATTAGTTGTTCTTCCCATGATTGAGTTCAAGTCATGTTTTGATGGCACTCCAATGGGAATGTAATAATATTGGTGAACATCCTATTATTAGAAGTTGTTTGAACTGATTGCCTTTGGATGATTTAGTTGTCCTCATCAATGTTGTCCCATGGTACTATAAATAGAAAATGGCATTTTTTTAAAGTTTTCATTTTTGTCATCTGCAATCCTGTATAAAGCTATTACTTAATGGTGTGATTTTGTCAATTGAATTGTATTTAATGTATTTTTAATAACTGTTGGCCATAACTGTTCTAACATTTAAAGGGGACTTTAGCTGCCAGAAGTTGATCAGTCCATAATATTTGGTAAAGTGATTACCTCCTTGCTGAACAGCAATGCCACTGGTTTAGGTAGCAAGGTGCATAATTGGGGCCAAAATGTAGTTCCCTCCATTTTGTACACCATGGGTGACATTTGGGTCCGTGTTCATAGTTAGTCTGGTCAACTTTCTTCTACTGTGTATGAGTGCACAGCTAAACTAGTTAGATGTTTATTTTGAAGAATTTAGTGGGGGAAACATATCCTTTTTCAAAGAAATTTCCCAAATTATGCTGGACTAGGTCATGGGATCTTATTCAGGAGTAACTACTAAAAAGTGACTTCTCTACCTGGTCCATTGCTTCATTGGGTTTGCAGTTCAATGTGCAGTACTATTTTCATTTGTACTGACACTACGTGTCTGTATTTGTGCATACTGCGCATGTTGTGATATCTCCCCCGAAATCAATTGTTCAAGTTGTTTGAATGTAGATGTTGTTGGCTTTCAGTGTATTTAATAATATTCATAGACAATAGTGTTACATTAGATGCAGTTGTTTTTTCTTCTGTTTTTGAAAAAAGTTTGAGTTCGTACTTTGATTTTCTGTCTTGATAAACTGGTAGTTGTACTATGTAATTGCCTTTGCTTCAAGATTCAGCTTACTGGCCAGTTATAGACATTGTGGAAAGTGAGGTAGACCGAGGAAATTTAATTTGGAAACACCCTGTTTCCATCAGTACAATCACCTTGACTGTTGATCCGTCCATTGTAGTTATAGGATTTCCAGTGTTGTATACAAATCACCTGTCAAGAGTATCAGTACGTGCCTACTCATTTGTGCTGTTTTCTTTTCATAATAATATTCCGAACGCAGGTTGAGGAAAAGTTATGAAAGTTTTCATGTTGATTTTGAAAAAAATTTCTCTTAATGCAGCTCATTTTGTTATTTCCTCAATCGAATCAATTAAGGTGCTATTGTGTCTGCTCGTGTATAAGATTTTAAAAATGAATTTTGAAAAAGAAACAAAAAATAAAATAAGTCTTTATGTGCTTTGTCAGTGTCTATAAATGCAGTGCAATTGTGATCCAACCATTCTGTATGATTACAAAATTGATGGACTGCTTAGCAGTCCCAGAGAGAAGATGCAAGCATGGAACTGTTGTAATAACTTGAAATAACTGAATTTTCAAAACGTTTTGTCGCATTTTCATGTATAACAGGGGTGTGATGTTAGATCTAGGTAGACTGTGATGTGTATTATAATTTTTCAATGCTTCTGTGAAATTAATAATGTATCAATTTAAGAGGTTTTTAAAATGTGAAATTTTCTACTCATCGAAAAGTGCGGACGATTTACCACTAATTCATTGTAATACAAACTTGATTGCTTTAGGCACCCCTTTTTTATTCTTCCCCATTTCAGAGTAACTTAACCAAAATCTTGGGTTATCAGCTGTCATTTATCAGTGCTAATGTAGTCATAGATTTTAATCTGAACTGAAAATTGGCGCTGAAAGCAGGTGAAAGCTCAAATATGTGACCTGTCACTGTGTATACACATCTAAAGCATATGCTTGCAAGAGAAGCTTTTCAAGATTTTAGTGCCTTTTAATTTCTCATTGTTGTGCTTATTTATTTCTAGGACCTAAGTAGAGCAATATCTTAAACTATTTACTCTATTGACACAGTACCTCCCTGAGGGAAGTTTATCTTAGCTTACCATTTGCATGAAATTTGGAATTAAAATTTCGACATTCAAAATTATCATCTGCTGTAGCCTTGTGTAATCTCTTTGTATAATGTATCTCTTCTAGAAATGTTTTATTGTCGTCTTTTCAATTAGGCATGGTAATGCTTTCTTTTTAAAAATTTCTACAATTCTGTGGATGTGTTGGGATGGGCCAAAAAGGGGGAACGAATCTGTATGCCCAGGAAATGAAGTTCTCTAAGATCTCTGAGGAGATGCTCAAGAGCATTGTGATCATTAGTATATTACTTGTTCTTCTCCTCTGTCCTGAGTATAGCTTCACGCTATGTGTATATCATGTCAAAATTTTGGTTAACTTCCAATTCATAGTTCCAACTTCCTGCCTACTATATAAGTATTTGCACTAAACAACTGTTCAAAAGGTATAAATTCCATTGTTTTGTGTTTCAACTTGTGGGTAGAAAAAGACTGATAACTTAGTGTTCATTTAAAAGAATACTGCTCATCAATCAAAAAGCACATTTCACATTTGCTCCTCGCCATAGAATTTGTCCAAAATTCGCAACCCTGAACATAAAACCTTTAAATGCTCTGAGGATTTGAGCAGTTGAAACTTGTCTTTTCGGTTCTGTTTGTTTGCATTTGCACAAAAAGCATGGTGGCTTGTAAATTTTGAGCCATTAAGGTTTACCTGTGACATTTGTCATATAATTTAAGATGGGAGTTTGATTCACTTCAATAGTCATGACCAGAAGATTCTGATGATTGTATTTAAGTTGTATTGTACTCAGTTTCTCATTCTTATTTTTTTCCCCTTAGCAAACATAAAATTGAACTGATCTTTCCTCAGATATATGTACATATTACTTTTATAAAGCGCATAATGACTAGGTACTAAGCTGTTGTGTGTTTTTAATGGTATTCAATAGCACTGTGATTGTTGGGAAGCTTTTACTTTGTTTTTAAATTATGAATATAGCTTTCTATAGCATAGTGTTTATCATTGTTTGTGCATAGATTACAGTATCCTTAAAATAAAGTGTAAAAATGATTTAAGTTTAGTCTTTTATTTAACACTAATCCACTAACACAATGTATAAAATTATCTTGCCAGGAGAGCATAGTCACGATGAAACAAAGACCAGCCAGAAACATCAAAACAGACTTTCATAAACAAACAGAAATGGCGAGATTGAAAGGCCACTTGACGCCGTGCGAAGCGCCTTTGCCCTGCCTCTTCGGGTAGGGAATGCCACGGAGAGGCTTTAGTGAGTCGCGGCGCCGTGCCAGGTGCCAACGGTCACGGGGTGACGCGTGGACAGTGGACACGCCGGCCTGGTCCTGGCCCGGTCCCCATTCCAAACTTTTACACTGGTCAGCCGAGGGGGGGGGGGCTGGAGAAAGGGGTGCGAGTGACCGCGGGCGCGAGGCGCGAGACGGCCGCGGCAGAAGTCGAGTGGCGGGGCCGCGGGGCGGGGAGCGCGCCATGGCGCATGCGCGGAGCGGTAGGGCTTATCGAGCGGCTGGCCTCGCTCGCCGCGCCGCGTCCGCCGCGTCGCTCGCTTCCCCTGTTCTAGTCCGCCGCGGCCCGGACCCGCGCTAGTCCACTCCGTGCACTCCGTGCTGCAGCGCCGCGGCCCTCTGAGGCCCTCACCGCCACCATGTCGCTCACCGTCCTGGAGAAGGTCGGCATCGTCTTCATCGTCGTGGTCGCCGTGCAGTTGGTGCGGCGGCTGCTGCAGCTCCTCTACGACCATGTCATCGCGCCGGCCCTGCACATGAACGTCGACTTCACCAAGTTCAAGGGGACCTGGGCAGGTGCGTTGGTCTTGGTGTGATAAGGGGGCCGACGCCGGTCGGGCCTTGGTCGGGCTGCCGCGGGGTTATCTCGCCTTGGCCGCGGACCGTCGCTGTCTCTCTCGCACCCCTACGGACCGCCAGACGAGTGCGACGGAGACAGAGCGACGGGTGCCTCGCCTGTCCAAGACGCCGCACTACTTGGCTAGCCTGTCGGCGCGGGGAAGTCACTCGAGGCGCGGAGCGCGGAGCCATGGCGCAGCCGTCGCAACGATTTGAGCAAGGCTGGAGATGAAGATGAGCCGGTTGCCGCGGCCCTCCAAACACCGCGCCGCCGTAACTATCCCTCGGTTTTTTGTTTTTTGGCGACTTCCTCTTCGACTCGGCCGGATAAGAAGGTGCTTGGGTCCCGCGGCGCGGCATTGCGACATGTCACGGCGCAGAGCGCGCAGCGTAGCGCAGCGCGGGGCGGAGATCCTTCGTCACGTTTTGCCCGCCTTTGGACCCTGAAGACGGCACGACGGGTGACAGATTCCACGGCACTGTAGGCCTTAACCCTGCCCCACTCTTTTTTGTGTTTTCCTGCGAGCTCTGCATGTGGGCTTTACGCCTAGCGCTCAGCCGCTCGCCGAACTTCGAGTACCCGCTGCTCGCCCGCACTGCAGACCGATTCCGAGCGTCGTTTTCTTCGCTCTGTCTCTCTCGCACTCACGTGGCGTTCCGTGTGGGTGCGAGAGAGACAGAGCCGCGAAAACGCCTCTCGGAATCAGCCGGCCAGCCGTGTTGACGTTTGCCCGGCGTGCCACTTGCACGAGAGCTGACTCGACAGGTGTGCATCGCATCAGCCAGCCGGCCGGCCGCGGCTCTTGGAGTCCGCGAGCGCGAGTGCAACTCTCTCGATACGAGAGCACCCCGCGTTCGGTTCCCACCGACCGGTCGGACTTCGGCAGGTACGCACGCGGGCACGCGGGCACGGGGACTGATTAGCACAGAATGGCCCGGGTCAGCGCGGGTCAGAGCAGGTCACAGTGCGGCAGGGCGTCGCCGCCGCGGTGCGCCGCGGTCGAGGGAGGGAAGGCCACCAGTGTGGCGGACGCCCCGCCTCACCTCTTACCCAAACCCGCTCAATTCCCTTTTCCACGCGCGTCACAGACACTTCTCACTTTCGTTACTACACTTCCTCCCTGGGCTTGAGGTGTGCTTACTTGACAAACAATCCAGCGTTCAGGTGTCCTCACCTCTTAAAAATACCCCAAACTTTAAAATCCAACTAAATTTTTTCGAAATTTTCTACATAACTCTGGGCTTAGCGTTTACCAAATATATTAACTTGAAGCGTGACTTTTGTTTCGGAGAACGAGTTAAGGCTGCACCGGAGTGCCGGTGACGCACGTAAGCACCTCGGGGTAGGAAACCCTGTCGAAAGGCGCGACGGAAAGAGGCCTTTTTCCGCGACCACACATCGCCGGGCCCGGCCCGGCCCGCCGGCCGCAGATGGGGCGACACTAGACGACACTTGTGGTCTCCGCTCGCGACTCAACCATCGCGTCGACGGCTCTGACGGCGAAAAAATCGGGAATGCCAATCGTCGTGCGCGCCTTGGTGCGCGAGCTGTGCAAACCGAACACGTTCTAATGGGTGTCATCTTTTTTTCGCGCCTGTTTGAAAGTGCACACGTATTACCCGCACGGCAGGCGATGTCGCTTTGCGGCGATTTGGTGGGGAGGGGAGGAGGGGGAGTTGATGATAACGCATGGCGTGTGGATCGCGCGACGCGCCCGACCGCGAAGCGAAGCCCGGCGAAGCCCATTGGACAGACCTTGGGGGGAATGCAGATCAGCAGACTGCCATCAGCGGAATGCACGCCGACCTGGCGACACCTTTTGCCGAACCATCCCGAACCGCGAACCATCCCGAACCGCGTTTAGTTTCGCTTCTTCGGAGCGATCGCTGTAATCGTGGCAACAATCGAACGCCCATCGGGGGGAAACAGTGATGGCCGATGGGATGGCGCGCGCGCGCTTTTTGCGGCCGCGCTGCCGCGTCCCTGGGAAGACGACGAGCGACGACGAGCTTCTCCTCGGCTCTCCTCTTCCTGACGTGTGTGAGTGTGTGCGCGCGCCGTCCCGACTAGATCAACCTGCTGCAGCTTCGGCTCCGCGGCGCCGCCCGGAGAAAGCGCGCCGAGTGAGAAGAGAGAGAGAGAGACGGACTGACCGGCGCGGCCGAACGGGAAATGCTTTGGAGAAATGAGTGGGGGAACCCAACCCAGGCCAAGCGGCAAGACGGGCAAGGCGAGGATGAACGTCGGGTGCTGCGCGCGCTGTGCTGGCCTAGGTCACTCCGCGCCCAACTCTGACGGGTTGCCGACTGGCCAGCGCTGCCGCACAGTGGGCCAGCAGACCGGTAGAGGCGGCCAAAATTCTAGGCGCGCTTTGAGCTCCAGAGTCGCTTAACACGAGTCGAACCGAACGTGTGACCCCACCAATGGATTTCTTGTTCGGAGAGCAATCCATTGGTGGGGTCACACGTTCGGTTCGAGTCCTGTTTAGTGACTCTGGAGCTCAAAACGCGTCGAGTTTTGGTCGCCGGCGCCGGTCTTCTGGCCCACTGTGCGGCGCTGCCGGTAGGCAACCCTACCCGCGATGTGCCACATTCCTCCGATCGTGACACAAGACGCAGTGGGCCTCGTTTGGGCAGCGCCGGCAGCGCCAGCATGGCCTGCAGCAGGCTCACTCCGGACGGCGGATTCGTCGCTCTGTCTCTCTCGCGCTCATAGGGCGTTCCGCAGGGGTGCGAGAGAGACAGAGCGCCCCGTTCGGAGGCGGCAGCGCTCTTTCCGCGTGGTGACGGTGCACATACGAATGGCACTTGCTGCACAACAGTCGGCCGTCGTGTACCTCCGCGTCGGGCGGGGGGCCTGGCCACCCCAGGGGCCATCCCCGCGGCGTCACAATCATTCAAAAGTCTCCCAGGGTCTTCCTCCGTCCCTAGCGGTCCTAGTGCTCTTCCTACCGTCAAAACCAAAACATCTTTCTACTCGTCTGGGGAATCGCAAGCCGCTACTCGCCTAGTCTTACAAACGGTTGGCCAACCGGCCTCTCTTTCGGGCCCCAGGCAGTGTCGCCAACAGCAGCCTGATTCCGAGAGTCGTTTTCGTCGCTCTGTCTCTCTCGCACCTACACGGCACGCCCAATGAGTGCGAGAGAGACAGGGCGACGAAAACGACTCTCGGAATGGGACTGCAGAGACCTGGACGCGGCAGGCTGGGCGAGGAGCAGCGTCATCCCGGCTGTTTTGTCGCAGTCGTGTCGCGGAAAGGGTGCCGCGCCGCCGGGAGTCGAACCCGGGCCTGGCCAGGGCCCGCGATGACTGGCCAGCGCAACCCGCGCCAGGAAAGGGCCGGCGGTCATGTGCGGCGCCAGGCGCGAGCGTGCGCCTCGGGGCCAACACGTGACAAGGCACGCGGTGAAATCCGTCTTCGCAGTGGCGGTGAAGGGCATTGTCGAACTTGCCGGCCGCCGTCAGAGTGCTGTCCATAATCCGTGCTGACCATGCTGACCATGCTGGCCATGCTGACCATGCTGACCATGCTGACCATGCTGACCGTGCTGACCATGCTGACCATGCTGACCGTGCTGACCGTGCTGACCATGCTGACCATGCTGACCGTGCTGACCATGCTGACCATGCTGGCCGTCGGGAACGTGCGGCTAGGCGACTGAGTCGCCAAACAGTCCGGCCGGCCGATCTCCCACGGGCACGACGGGCACCCGAATCGCCTGCAGGACGATCCCGCACAGCTCTCTGTCTCTCTCGCACCCGTAACGGGACGCCGCGCGAGTGCGAGAGAGACGGAGCGACGAAAGCACACTGTTTGGTTGGAATCAGCGCGCTGAATCAGCCGGGGAACCGGAAATGAAATGACGAGTGCCGGCACTAGTGGCGACCGGCGACCGAAAACATTTTCTTTCTTTTTCTTTTCGGCGCGAAAGTGGTCGCGCTCCGCGTGCCGAATGTTTTGGCAGTAAAGCCCTCCGGGGTCGCGCGACGAGCGAGACGAGCCTGACGAGCCTGACGGCGTGACGCTGCAGTGCTGCTGGGCGCTGCACAGCCTGCGCGAGCCTGCGCGAGCCTGCGCTGCACCGCGGCCAGTAAAATAGTAAAACCACCGCGGCGACAGCTTCCTCTTTCTCTTTCTCTTTTGTTGTCCGCCAAGCCAAGCCAGGCCGGCCGCAGTGTAGTGTTGTGTCGCCTGTCCGGCCGTTGTAATCAAACGTCGACGCGATGCCGCGGCGCGCCGCAGCAGTCCGATTCCGAGAGTCGCTGCCGTCGCCCTGTCTCCCTCGCACCTGTACGGGACGCTCCGTGAGAGCGAGAGAGACAGAGCGACGAAAACGACTCTCGGAATCAGTCTGCTGCCGATCGGCTGTCGTTCGGACCGCCGGCATGCCGCCGGCACCGCGGGCGGATGTGCCGCAAGGGCCGCGGGGGAGCAAGGCGTCCGGGACTAGACTTGTCCAATCCGCCGCCTTTGTCCTTCCCGCCGCGGGCCGCGACAGCACGGTGACTCTGTCTCTCTCGCCCTCAAGGGGCGCCCCGCACAGCTGCGAGAGAGACAGAGCGACGAAAGCAGTGCTCAGCCTACGGCAGTGTGTGGCCAACGGGACACCGCGGTGCTCCGCGGGGCACTCGATGTGCAACGCGGGGAGTGAGTGTGCGGTGCCATTAGTACACTGCCAGAAACATCGGGGAGAGCGCATCGGATGCTAATTTGATTTTTCCTGTGTTGCAGTGGTGACTGGCGCCACCGACGGCCTGGGCAAGGCGTACGCCGAGGCGGTGAGTGCAGCGACACCGAGCGACATGCCCTGCAGGGCCTGCTTGGCGATGCACCCCGCACAGTGGATCTGCCAGAAGAGCCGTGGAGGCGCCCAAAATTCCAGACGCGTTTCGGGCTCCAGAGTCGCTGAATGGGACTCGAACCGAACGTGTGACCCCACCAATGGATTGCTCATCGAACGAGGAGTCCGTTGGTAGGGTCACACGCTCGGTTCGAGTCCTGGAACTCAAAACTCGTCAAGAGTTTTGGCCGCCTCCACCGGTCTTCTGGCCCACTGTGCGCCACCCCCCGACTCACGTGGTTTGTCCGTTGTCTGTGTCCGCAGATGGCGCGCCGGGGCCTCGACGTGGTCCTCATCAGCCGCACCAAGGCCAAGCTGGACACCGTCGCGGCTGACATAGGTAAGTGCAGCCCTTTGCAGTCGTTTGCTCCGTCTCTCTCGCACCCTTACCGGACGCCCCAGGAGTGCGAGAGAGACAGAGCGACTGGAAGCGCCCGCCAAGTTCGGGGTAGGCCAGCCCGCCGAGCACGGGTGGCTCGCAGCGAAGCCTACGCCGGACTTGGCGGGGGCCCTGCGCGGGTGGTGCGCGCAGTGTTGTTGCTCTGTCTCTCTCGCACACGTACGGACCGGGGCGAGAGAGACAGCGACGCAATCTGCTGCGCGGATGCAGTAGCCTAACGGCAAATTATTGCGCAACCCGCACTGGGAGCCGTAACGCCACTGTTATTGGTGTCCAGGCCTGGCCGAGCCGCGTGACGTAATACTTGGACGCCCTTTTTGACGCCCTGTTGCCTTGCTCGCCTACAGCGGCCCAGTACAACGTGCGCACCAAGGTGATCGAGGCCGACTTCACCGGCGGCGACGAGCTGTACGACGCCATCGACAAGGAGCTCATGGGGCTGGACATCTCGGTCCTGGTCAACAACGTGGGCATGAGCTACCCCCACCCCGAGTACTTCCTCGGCCTGCCGGACAGGTCCAAGGTGAGAGTGAGAGCAACAGCCCCACGGACTGCGGTGGGCGAGAACGGAACGGCGGGCACCCGGTCGACGGCCTGGTTGCGGTGTACCCCCCACGGGTAGGCAACCCAACGGGCTCACCAGTGGCCCGGACTCCCTCGGGGTGTGCGGTTGGGTGCCTATCTTGCGGGCGTATGCTCAATGCATTCCACAGTTTTTCGCCAGAAAAATGCCGTTTGTCGCCGAAATGGTCCTTGAAATAGTGTCAGGAGTATTTCAGGAGTGCCCCAGCACAGCAATTCTCCTGTGACGGTCAGGACGAGAAGACGACGACCTGCCTGACGCTCTTGTCCGCTTCGCAGGTGTTCCAGAGCATCCTCCGCTGTAACGTGCACTCGGTGACCAACATGAGCCTGCTGGTGATGCCGCGCATGGTGGAGCGCAAGAAGGGCGTGGTCATCAACGTGTCGTCCGCGACGGCGCTCTTCCCCTCGCCGCTGCTCACCGTCTACGGCGCCACCAAGGTGAGCCAGTGGCATCCCACCTAACCTGATCTAACCTAACCTTCCTAACCTAAACTTCCTAATCTAATCTTCCTAACCTAACCTTCTTGACTTAACCCTCATAACCTAACCTTCCTAACCTAACCTTCCTAACCTAACCTAACCTATTGCCCCCCAGGCGTACGTGGACAAGCTGTCCGAGGACCTGCAGGCCGAGTACGGCAGCCAGGGCGTGACGGTGCAGTGCATCCTGCCCGGCGTCGTGGCCACCAACATGAGCAAGGTGCGCAGGGCCACCTGGATGTCGCCCACGCCCGACCAGTTCGTCGAGTCCGCGCTCAAGAGGGTCGGCATCCTGGAGAAGACCCCCGGCTACTACCCGCACAGCCTCCTGGTCAGTACCCGAGACTTCTCCGACAGTGGCAGGGGCAGACGGCGGGAACTCTTTTGCATCAGGGAAAGCTAGCCCTTGCAGTTAGACAGAGCTGCGCCACCAAGGTAGGCCACCCATTTCACACGCTGGGGTGGGTGGGCCGACGTCAGCGAACACTACACGCTGGGGGGGAGGAGAGCAACAGACGGATGTTTGCTTCGCGTCTATTATGGCAGTGCAGGCCACCCATCTGGCACTGCATGTTGATGACCGCGTTGTTTCTTCTTGTCGCACAGGTGTGGGCCATCCAGCTGATGCAGAGCATCTCCCCCACGCTGTGCCTCTACGTCATCAAGAACACCATGCTCAACGTGCGCGAGAGAGCTCGTCGCCGGTACGCCTCGTGACCAAGTCCCTGACGACGGCGTCCTCCAGCGCCAACCCGTCGCGACCGTCGGCAAGCCCGTCGCTAGCCGCCGCGGCCGCAAGGGCCAGTCGGCCCTATGTTTGGACTGAACGACACGGGGCAAACGAGGAAGGCGAGAACGAGATCGGGGAACGTTAGGACCAAGTCTTAGTTGTAACGTTTCAAACTGTGTAATTAGAGATTCGTTTTCTCTAGAGGCTATCGTTGGAACGTATACTGTTATGGAAGGTTGACGACAATAATTTGTTTCTACAACCTTGTTATTTCCCAGACCAAAGAAAGTTCATTTGCTTTGACTATGGTTCAGAGTAATTTATGAAGGATTGCTGGGAAAGTAATTGCATGACCCCAAACCCTGAAGAACAGTAGGTTTGACAAATATAAGACTGTTGCATTACGATTATAGATTCACTTCCAGCACTGACGTGCGTTTGTTTTTGTTATTATATTGTTGCTCGTTTTTACAATTCTTGTGATGTTATATTTTTAATGTATTTGTTCTTGTGATGATGCGATGTCAACACATGGGATTTGTAAAGGAAGACGATTAAAGTTATTTGCTGAAGGAAAACAACAAACTGTTGTACTTATCATTTCTCATCCTTAATTAAATCTACTATAAATTCACATTTACCTACGAATGGCACGGAGGCAAGAGAAAGCGCATATGCTAAAGTTACAAAACTCAGCTAGAATTCATTAAAATTCACTAGAAATCACCAATAGTGTGTAAAAACGGGAATGGCACATTAAAGATGAGGTACATTTTAAAAGACTTGATCAAATATCACAGATGAAACATAGCCAAACCCTTGTAAATTAAAAACAAAACACATACAATAAAACAGGGATAATTACAGTATCAGGACACTCTCAAACAACACTTTTCGATAGTTCGAATAAAGCAAATATCACAGTCTTCTGAAGCCACTGTGCCGGTGGATGACGACGAGGTCGTCGTCATCAGTCGCGCGGCAGCAGCATCTCCTTGTCCTCGGCCTTGGTGACGATGAAGCGCCTCTTCTTGGCGGGGCGGTGCGCGGCGTCGCCCAGCCAGGCGGAGGCCGTCTCGTCGTTGACGGACAGGGTGGGCACTTCCCTGGCCGAGTCCCTGGCCGCCAGGGGCGTCAGCTCCGAGTGGTCCACGGGCGTGAGGAACAGGGAGGGCGTGGGAGGCACACTGCCGAAGCTCGGCCCGAGCGGCGTCTTGAAGGCCGCGGGCGTGGCCAGGGTGTCCACGGCCAGCGACTTGCAGGGCATGTTGTTGAAGGGCGGCGTGTGCACCGCGGCAGCAGAGGGAGCGCGGTGGACGCCCGGCCGGACGCCGGGGGACCGTGGGGACCCTGCCGCGCGCCGTTTGCGAGGTTTGCAGCGGTACCCGTCGCTGCACCCTGCGAACGGACAAAGCCCTCGGTTACTCGTGTGATCGTCGGGCAGCGGACACTGACTGACACACTACACTGACTCACCCAGTCGCCAGGTCGGGTAGGACGCCTGCGCGCCGCAGCTGCCGAACGAGGCCCTGCGCGACATGCCGGTGCCGTGCATGTGCAGCTGCTGGTTCTGCTGCTGCTGCTGGATGGTGCGGTACAGGCCCTCCAGCTCGCGCACGGTGTCGAGGGTGCCCAGCGTGCCGCCCAGTGTGCTGGGTGACCACGTCAGCTGGTGCTGCTGGCACACGTCGAGGTAGCTGGGGTCGCCGCCGAAGTGGTGAGGGAACTGCGAGACAGAGACAAACCGGGGTCAGAGGATGCGCGCAGCCCGGCACGTTTGAAAGCGCCGGCGCTGCGCGCCACCGCGTAGCGAGAAGCTTGGCGTCGGCGCCGCTAGGTGGCGCCACCCACCGCACCGCTCACCGCTCGCAAGGCAAGGGGAAGTCAGAGATACTCACGCCGGAGGGGAGCTGCAGCAGGCAAGCCAGTCTAGACGGGATGGGGGACTGGCCTGGTCCTTCCCTGTCCGCGCAGTCAGCCAGCCCGGCGCCACACTGTTCCTGGCTAAACAACGACAAGAAAACGCACATAATTCAAACAGTCGATCCGGCCTCACTCCCACAAGGCAAGCCGACACGTACGCGACGACGGAGCGTAGGATGTCCGCCGCGCTCGCCCCGTACAGCGTCGTGTTGTAGTCCCTCGCGATCTTCACGTCGTGCTGCCAGAAGCGCTCCTGGTTCGACGGGGCCACTTCCTTCACCTGGAGGGAAACCAAGGGTTAGAATACAGGCCAGGCAGCCAGGCGGCACAGCCAGGCACCGCGATGGCTCACCTTGAGCATGAGGATGCCCGTCATGTAGATGAACACGATGTTGATGAAGGTGATGCACAGCGACACGCCGCCCATGATGGCCATCTCCATCTCGGGCTTGTCCGAGTAGTTGGCGCTGTAGCCCGCCCCCGCGGCCACGCCGTCCAGGAGCGCGTCGTCGGCGCCCAGCATGTAGTAGGCTAGCGACATGCCCCAGAGCAGCCCCGCGTTGACGGCGGGCGGCAGCAGCGACGCGGAGATGGCCACGCCCACCAGCGACCCGGTGTTGTCGCGCAGCAGGGCGATGGCGATGCCCATGCCGGACAGCACGGCGATCAGCACGTTGACCCACAGCGAGCGCAGCAGGCCTCTGCCAAAATATATTACAAATAATAGTAAAAGCAGGACACACTCGAGAAAATCAGTTTTTAAAGGTTGGCCATCGACCGGGCTTGGCTTCTCGACGAGGTGGTCGGGTGAGGAGAGGAGGTGGGCTCCACTGCGACGCCCGCCCCGCCGGCAAGAGCGGCCTATCCTTCACCAGTTACGCCTCTCTTGCCGCCAGGCGTCGGCTGACTCCTGCTATTGGCATGACTCGAAATAGAGCGAGCGGAGTGAACCCCCACTCCCGCTCACCTGTCCATCATCTCCTCGGTGGGCCAGGGCCGGTCGATCAAGCTGACGACCACGCCCGTCACGAAGCCGATGAGTAGGCACAGCAGCAGCCCCACGCACTCGTTCACCAGCCCCATGCGCTGCAGCCTCCAGTCGTGGATCATGGTGCCGAACGTGGCGGCCATCACGGGGCCCTGCGCACCAAAGTCAAAACGTCAAGGAGAGCCTTCTTTTCCTACTTGTTCGCGCTCGGGCTACTCGCCATGAGGGGAGAGATGAGCATGCTGGCCACGAGGATCACGGTGCTGTCTTCGAACAGCCCCAGCGCGGCGACCAGCCTGAGGAAAACAGAAAAAAAGGGTTAAACAAGACGTGGTTTAGTTCTTTTGTAGCGGAAAGAAAACTACAGTGTGACTGACGCGGCCACGATGAGCAGCAGGAGGAAGTCGAAGGTGAAGGTGGCGTTGGCGCGCACGCCCTCCACGACCTGCGCCACGGTGAGGCGCGCGCGCACGGACTGCACGAAGCTCTCCCAGGTGCCCTGCTCGCCGCGACCCTTGCCGCCAGTGCTTCCAGCGCCACCGGGACACCTGCGACAGCACCGAGAGACGTTAGAGAGCTCCGCGACGCACAGTGGGCCAGAAGACCGGTGGAGGCGGTCAAAATCCTGGACGGGCTTTGAGCTCAAGAGTCGCTAAGTGGGACTCAAACCGAACGTGTGACCCCACCAATGGATTGCTCTCCGAACGAGGAATCCAGCGATGAGGTCACGCGCTCGGTTCGAGCCCTGTTCAGCGACTATGGAGCTCAAAACGCGTCTAGAGTTTGGGCCGCCTGCGCCGGTCCTCTGGCCCACTGTGTTACGGGGAGGTAGCGGTGCACCGCGACCACCGCGACGGACGCCTACTTCTCGTCCTTCTTGGCGGATTCGTCGGCGTGCAGGTCGTCCATGGAGCCGTTGCCGCTCTGCTCGCTGCCTTGGTAGTACAGGACGCAGGGCAGGACACTGGAAACAAAAGTCTCTTTTGTGTCACTCTTTAAAAAGAAAGGGACAGGCTGCAATTAAAACATGTTAAAATAAAAATTGTTTCCGACCTCACTACGGAGTCCAGCAAGACCCCGATGCCGGCCTTGTGGAGCTTGTCGAGAGCCTCCTCGCAAGGGTTGCCAGACTCGACGGAGAACAAAACCTTGACAGTGTACAGCACAATAATAATTCGCCTGTCACTAGTAAATCCAGCGCATTCAATACAAAACACCCACTTGGTAATATCGATTATTCTTCCCCATGCACCAAACAGCGTTGTTAATCTTCAGCTGCTTCAACACATTTTCAAGTTCCTAAAAAACATAAAATAAAAATTAAACGGTGTGGAAAGCTCAGCCCCCGGCCAGTATTCGAACCCGCTTCCTTACCGTTTCTAAATAGCGGTGGCGCCGTTTCCTTGCGCTGCCGCCGGGCGTGGTGGCGGTGGTGGTGGGCGGGCGCGCGCTGAGCCCCTCCGGGTCGGACTGCGACACGCCGGCCAGGCCCAGCAGGGGGCTGCGGGGGGTGCGGGGGCTGCGCGGACTCCGGGGCGTCCGCGGCAGGTCGGTCGCGTCCACCCGCCAGGGCCCGATGAACATCTCCCTGCGCGAGTTGGCGTCATCCTGGAACCATGCAACAGTGCACAGTGGGCCAGACGACCGGTGGAGGCGGCCGAAATTCTAGACGCGTTTTGAGCTCCAGAGTCGCTAAATGGGACTCGAGCCGAACGTGTGACCCCAACAAAGGATTCCTCGTTCGGAGAGCAGTCCATTGGTGGGGTCACACGTTCGGTTCGAGTCCAATTTAGCGACTCAGGAGCTCAAAACGCGTCTAGAGTTTTGGCCGCCTCCACTGGTCTTCTGGCCCACTGTGCAGTGTTGTTCGCGTATTACGTAACGCTCTGTCTGTCGGTGAGGACGAGAGATACACTGTGGGTGACGTCACTGTACCTGGGCGTCCCTCGCGAAAAGGCTGTCCTCGGACTTGGAGCGGGTGCCCAGCAGACGCACGCCGAGCAAGTCATTGCTCCGCCCGGTGTTCGGGCCGCTGCCTTGGCCGCTGCCGGGCTGTTTGAGTCTGGAACGAAATAGTCGTGGCGATCAACACGGCTAGGATGTTGCAGCGGCGAAAAGGACCGTTCTGCCGCGAGCACACCGCCATAGCCAAACCCAAACAAACCACCGTGTTTACACCGCAGCTCTACTCACAAGTCTCCAGCTCCGCCGAGCTCCAAAACCGCCGCCTCGTGCTCTCTGGTGGGAACGCACACCACGAAGAGGGTTCCTGCCATTAAACTGCAAGCGTTTCACAGTGTCACGGACCTGGCCGATTTACTTACGACAACAACACTGCCTGGGCGAGGGAGTGCGCTCGCTGACCGGCACCCGTTCGACGCGAGGCGACGCGGCGTGGACACTGATGAGCAGCGCCGACTGCAGCGCTGTGAGCGGCCGGCTGCCATGCGAATGGAGAGAGAGAGAGAGAGAGAGAGAGGGAGAAACAGGTGTGGCGGGAGGGGAGAGAGGGGGAGGGAGAGCGAGCAGCAGTCGGGTGCGGACGCAGGGAAGTACCAGGGAGGAGGGGGACAGAAAAATTCATCGCATTGTAGATTGCTGCGACTATTTTTTGCTAGGAAAATCAGCATACAGCATAGTTCCTCAACGATGTGAATGGGGGTTCGTTTCCCATTCATGACGTCGCCGTGGTGGGCCCGGCCCGTCGGCCGCAGCGCGCCGCAGCGGCACGGCTCTCTGCGGGACGCCCCCCACACGGCGTTATCGCCTGCTGCAGGCCGGCCCGGCGCCACAGCCAGAAAAGTGACGCGCGCAGCACGTCATGGAGGGGCCCGGCCTGACGCGCGCCGAGGCCGCCGACGGTGCAATGTCTGTGCAAATTCAAGACACTTTCTCAAAGTGGGCAGGCCAGGCGGCTGGCCTCAGAGCACCGCCACACGTCTGGGGGCGACGACGCGGAGGCCGCTGTGGACGCGAGTGGAGGGCGTGGCGGCGAGTGGCTTGGCGGCTTGGCGGCGCAGTGCCGCGGCGCAGGCAGTGCTGCTCCCGGCCGGCGGGCGTTCACTCGCCTCAGCATGGCGCCACCGCCACGGCCGCCACGGCGCTGGGCCCACGTCCTGGGGCTCGTCCTGGTGCTCGTGCTCGCCCTCCCCGAGGCCGTGAGGACGGACCCGGCGGCGCCGGCCAGCGCGGTGCCGGCCTCGTCGACCACGGCGGCGTCGGCGGCGATCCCCGGCCTCGGCAGCACCGCGGCGCCCGGGCTGACGCGCATCGCGGCCTCCACCAACCACGCGCCGCACAACGGCTCGACGGCCACCCCGGCGCACGGCCAGCTCGCCCAGCCCGGTCAGCCCATCCAGCCAGCCCAGCCGGGCCAGCCCGGTCAGCCCGGCCAGGTTGCCCACAACGCCACGGCCCTGAGTGCATCCCCCGCGCACCCGGCCCACAACGCCACGGCCCTGCAGCACAACGCCACGGCCCCGGAGGTGCTGCGCTCGGCCCCCGTGATGGCCGCCATGCCGGGGATGGTGCCGGGGATGGTGCCGGGGATGCTGCCCGGCCTGGTGCCCATGGCGCCCCCCGCGGTGGCGGTGCCGCCCGTGCCGATGCCCCAGCACAACGTGACGGAGGGTCGCGCCGCCCTGCCGCCGGGTCAGCACGCCGCCCCGCACAACGCCACGGAGGGGCGAGGCTTCAGCCTCGGCGGCGCGCACCTCGGCGTCCACGCCAACGCGTCCGCCGCGCCGCTCGGCCGCAGCCTGCTCGCGCAGGGCCTGTACGAGGCCCTCTTCAGGTTCTCAGGTGGGTAGACCTTCTGCAGACCTCCTCCACGCCCTGTCCGCGCCCTGTCCGCGCCCTGTCCGCGGCATGCTAAGGGCGTCTCTCTGTCCAGCACGCGACCCGAGGCAGTGCAACGCCCTACGCTGCCAGGAGAAGCTCAAGTGGATCGAGACGAACAACGTGCAGGTGTGCGGCGTCTGGGAGAACGACATGTTCGTCTTCTCCAACATCTGCGACATGCTGTGGTTCAACTGCCTCACCGAGCGTTGTACGTGAGTCTGGCGCGTGTTGCTCGGTCTCCGAAACGCGTTCCCCGTAACCACGTGACTCTTGCAGCGTACCAGCGGATGGACGGCCAGATCTGCGGGCTGAGCCCGTCCCAGGGCATGATAGGGATGGCGGCCGTCGGCGCCGCGCCACCGCCACCCCCGCCGCCGCCGCCTCCACCGCCACCGCCGCCTCCTCCACAGCCCCAGATGGGGCTCCAGCAGCAGCAGATGGGCATGGGGATGATGCAGCCTCCGCCGCCGCCGCCCCTCCCGCTGGGGATGCAGCCCCTGGTGGCGGGGGCCCCCGCCCCCCAGCAGCAGGCCTACCCGGCCTACATGAGCCACGACTACCAGAACCAGGGTGGCCAGGGCGTCTACCAGTAAACAACAGCAACAACACAAGACTGACGGTCGGGGCCGGGAGGCGATCAAACCGACACCACTGTACCGGGGCGAATAAAGAAATTAAAACAAGGCGCCTGTCCGTCCTTTTGCTCTGGCGCTACTGCTCCACCCTCAGCGTCGGTCTGTCTCTCTCGCACCCTTCCGGCACGCGCTGTGAGTGTGAGAGAGAGACGTCCCTCTCGGAAGCACACTGCAAGCCCGGCCGCCGATAACGAAGGCCCGGCATGGCGGTCCGCGAGTAGGGTGGGGAGGGGAGGGCTCTTGCGTGCTCTCGCGGCGAGGGGGCCGCACTGTTGGCGGCGGTCCCCCGGGCAGGGCAGTACGGGCACCACGGGCACCTCGGCAGAGGCCCTGCAGCCGCTGCAGTGCAGTGCACAGTGCAGCCATGGCCAGCGCTAGCGCCAGAGGCTTGGCCAGAGGCCGACGAGGCGTGCCAGACGCCGGGCGCCGCGGCCGCTCCCCGTCAGGCCCGCCGCGCCACGCGCCGCCTCGCCCACCTGCGCGCCGTCGCCGTCACCACGTCCGCGGCACGCCGCCGCGCAGCGCCACGGCCGCGTGATACCGCGTGACATCACGCCGCGGGCACACCGCAGCACGACCGCCATGCGCGCGCGCGTGCGCGTGCGTCTGCGGCTGGTGCGGCGGGTGGCGGCGGCGCTGGCTCTGACGCTGGTGCTGCAGGTCATCGACGCCACCAGCTCGTCGTCCTACAAGAGGTCGCCGCCCGGGAAGCTGGAGCTCGGCGGCGTCAGTGAGTAAAGCTTCCCGCCACAGGGCTGCCGACGGGAACCTAAGTTCAGTATCCAACGTCGACCAGGAAAACGCCGGTTGAAAGCCAAGCTCCAGGCCGTTCGTCTCCGTTCGGAGGCCGCACCACGGTGCGCTCGCGCTGGCGTTTTCCTGGGTCAAGTTGAACGCTTGAAGCCCTTGAAGCCGGTACAGTGTACAGCATCGCTTGGCGTACTATCTCTTGCAGTGCACTCTGTCTTGCTGCTGCAGCGCTGCGTCGGGACAGCGACCACTGCAACGGGCTGCGCTGCAAGGAAAGAGTGAGCCCGGGCATCGCGCCGGCCGCGCCGAGCATGCCCGTGGGGGCGGCCCCGCAGCCCCCGCAGCCCCCGCAGACCGCGCACCAAGGCAGACAGGGCATCGGGGCGGTGCCCGTGACCACCACCACCACCACGACTACGACCACCACCACGACAACGAGCGCACCTCCCACCGTGGTCCCAGGGGAGCCCGTGTGCGCCTCATGGGAAGAGGACCTGTTCCTCTTCGACGACTCCTGCGACATGCAACTGTTCAACTGCATGACGGAACGCAGTGAGTACTTATGACCAGGCGGCCAAGGTAAGGTTAGGTAGGTTTTTCTTCTTTACTCCTTTTTCCTCCCTTCTGCTGTTCTTCTTTTCTCCCTTCCTCCCTGTCTTCTTTCCTAAACACTCTTGAACCTTTGATTTGAAATCTGGCCTAAGCACTTCCTAACAAAACAGCTTTGCATTAATGGACTTGGTAATTTGGATCTCGGCGGAGTATACTGATAAAACAAAGGTTCGACCATGGTTAGGGTAAATGAAGGGGTGACAGAGAGTGCGCGAATCACAGCCTGGGTGACGCCGTGTGTTGGACAGAGTACGTGCCGGTGTCGCCGGACTACTGCGAGACCGGAACCATGCCGACGCGAAGCACCCCCGCGCGGCCCAGCACCAGGCCGATGACCAGGCCGCCGCACCCGACGCACTGGCCGACCTGGAACCCCACCTGGAGCCCCACTCCGACACCGACTCCGACTACGCGCACCACCGGCTTCCCGTCCCTACCCACGTGGCCGCCTGGGTCCTCTGCGGCATCAACAACGCCACCGCCGCTGCCGCCCCCGCCTCCTCCTCCACCACCGCCGCCGCCACCACCACCACCGCCGCCACCGGTCACGCAAGCTACGAACAGGCCGACAACTCCCACAGAGTCCACGACAGAGCCGGAACCGGAAACAGTCCATCCGCTGACCTGGCCGCCCGGCACCACCACGACGTTCTGGCCGCCGTGGGCCTTGACCACGGAGCGCACCTGGGCGCCGTGGGAACCGCCGATCACGCAGCACACCTGGACGCCGTGGGAGCCGCCGACCAGCGTGTGGACCAGTCAGTGGACCAGCCACAGCGACGACGAGACCACCCCGATCAGCGAGCACCCCGCGCACACCATTGGCTCCGGAGGCACGTGGCCGGCCTGGCCGGACCCTCCCAACCCGCCAACGCCCCCCACGCTGCCGCCCTACCCGACGTGGCCACCCTGGCCGCCCCCACCCAGCCCGCCAACCTTCCCGCCGTGGCTGGTCAAACCCTGTCCACCCTGCCCTTGCACGTGTGGCTGCGATAGACCTAGGTCCAGTACCCCTCCGTCCCTGCCACCGCCTCCCCCGCCCCCTACCGTACACAGTCTGCCTCCACCACCTCCTCCACCAACCATAACACAGCCATCGCTGCCTCCACCACCTACCATGCAGCCATCGCTGCCTCCACCACCTCCTCCACCTACCATGGAGCCATCGCTGCCTCCACCACCTCCTCCACCTACCATGGAGCCATCGCTGCCTCCACCACCTCCTCCGCCTACCATGGAGCCATCGCTACCTCCGCCACCTCCTCCACCAACCATGCAGCCATCGCTGCCTCCACCACCTCCCCCACCTACCATGGAACCATCGCTGCCTCCACCTCCTCCTCCACCTACAATAGAGCCATCGCTGCCGCCGCCTCCTCCACCGCCTGTGATACACAGTCTGCCACCTCCACCACCGCCTCCTGTCATAGAACCATCTCTGCCTCCACCTCCTCCACCCCCTGTCATACAGCCGACGTTCCCCCCGCCCCCTCCACTACCTCCTATACCAAGTCTGCCCCCGCCACCTCCACCCCCTGTCATACACAGTCTGCCACCTCCACCACCGCCTCCTGTCGTAGAACCATCTCTGCCTCCACCTCCTCCACCCCCTATCATACCACCTACATTCCCCCCGCCCCCTCCACTTCCTCCTATACCAAGTCTACCCCCGCCACCTCCACCCCCTATCATACCAAGCCTGCCTCCGCCCCCGCCTCCCCCATCATACTACCATCATTACCCCCACCCCCTCCACCCCCCATCATACTACCATCGTTACCACCCCCACCCCCGCCACCTGCCATACTGCCATCTTTACCCCCGCCGCCCCCACCCCCTTCCGACACATTCCCGCCCCCGCCTCCACAAGACGACTCACAAGATCCAAACGAAGATCCGTTCGCGGCCCCGTTTGTGGCCCCATCAACGGAAGGTCAAGAAGCAGAACCCCCTGGTCCTCCGTCAACGCCGGAAGAAACTAAAGAGCCCACGACGGAAGGTGCCGAAGAGCCAGCCCCGCCGGAGACGCCGCCAGCGACAGAGGACCCGGACAGCCAGTTCATGGCCTACCCCCAGTTCCCCTACGGCATGCCGATGCCGTTCATGCCACCGCCACCAGCGCTTCCGCGGCCACCTGCCATGCCACCCATTCCAGCCATGCCGTCGGCCCCCAAGCTGCCCGCGCCGCAACCGCCGAAGCACACGCGGGCGCCGCCCCCGCCGCCCGCGCCGCCCACTACAGCCCCTCCCCCGCGGCCGCCAGCGTCCTACACGCCCTACCCGTACCCTTACCCATACCCCTTCCCCTACCCGCCGGGCCCCTACTTGTCGCTGCCGACGCCGCCGTTCGTGACCTACCCCAACATCCCCCACGTGACGCCGCCACCCATGCCGGCGGTGCCGCCGCTGCCGCCCCAGCCCACTGCCCGGCAGATCCGCCACCGACCGGCCACGACCACCAGGGCGCCGCGCTCCGCCAGGCCCGCCGTCGCCCAGGGCCACCACGCGCCCCCGGGCCGCCCCGTGCCGCCCGCCGCCGTGCCGCCGGTCCCGCCACCGCCGTTCCCGTACCCCTTCGGATACCCGCCGTACGTCACCTACCCGCCCTACATGTACATACCGTACACGATGGCGCCGGGGAGTGGCGGCCAGTTCCTGCGGGCGCTCCCGTACGCCGCGCCCTCGGCGAGCCCCGCCACCGCGCACCAGTACACCATGGCGACGGCCCCGCACTTCTACCCGCCGTACTACGCCAACCCTGTGTCCAACGTCATGCCCAAGGCCCTGAAGCAGAACCTGGTCTCAATGAAAGCGGAAGCGACGACGGACGCCGACGACGACTCGGACGAGGCCATGATGATCTTGTAGGCCACGCGGCGCCACGCGGTGCGGCTCTCTTTGGCCTTTGCCTAGCTGTCTACAGTAACACGTGCGCCATTCATTCGGAACGGAAAGACAAAAATGCAGCAACTTTCTCACCAAGTCGTTTTATTTAATCAATTTAAAAGCAACAATATTTTAACTAACTCATTTTGTAACAAACAATGTCATGATTATTCATAGATAGTACAATTTCTTTGTACAGAACAATATTTATAACATTTCTTTTTCATATAAATAAAAATCTCACGATGCTGTTCAGATGAACATGTGTAGGCACATTTTAAGTGGTTTAAATATCATCTTTAACCCACTTTCTTAACCTAGCCTTTTAAAATAAGCAGTCTTTTGTACTGGCATCAATGCAAGGGACACAGTGAGCTGAACTCAATCAAACATTTGGTGAAATCCTGATCATCTGCTTTCAGGGATCGACACCCAACAAATGTAAATGATAAACAGTTTAACAGATAAGATAAAACTCTCTTTGATAGCTCACGCCTCATTTGTATACCTATTTGGGCACAATTAAGGTACAAATATAAACAGATACTTTAGAAGTCTCTTGGCAAATAGTAACTTTTACCAGAACTTTAACACACTCAGTCAGATAAGATTTAATCCTCAGATCCTGAGGGGTACATACGTAAGTTAGACAACGAGACAGAATTCCATTTAAAATCTGCACGCCAATAATAACGCTCAGTGGCCACAGGGATATTTGAACCTGGGCCCTGGAGTACATAAATATAAAAGTCCATACATACCAACGCGGTCGAGCGCCCAGTGGCACTTGAGTCATTTCGGAAGTCAGCGGCCGTTGGGCATAAGGGCGTAAGTCACATGGGAAACCCTTTGAAAATAGGTTGTTCTGTCCGATGACCACTTAAAAGCATGAGTACTCTCAACAGCCACTGGCGTTGAAAACGCGTTATCGACGGAATGCTTGAGTCAAATTTCTCCTCGAGGAGAGGGTCATTCTTTGGCATTGGACTAGACGTGCTGGCCGGAACACCGCCGGCCGCTTCAGAGGCGACGCGAGCTACTCACTTCCACAGTGGATCAGGGGCGTGGCAGGTACGGCCGGCCGCGGAGGGGGAGGGGGAGCTGCCCCGGGGGACTCCAGTCCTTGTGCTGCCGCTGCTGCAACTGCTGCTGCAGCTGGTGCAGGTGCGGCGGGAAGGGCTGATGCAGCTGGAAGTGGTAGGCGTGCTCGTCCAGCTGGTTGGACGACTCGGTGCGACTCGACGTGCCCGGCTCCGTGTCCGAACGGTCCGACTCGGAGCCGTAGCTCTCGTACTCCTCGGGCGGACAGCTGCGGCTGCCCTTCCTGGAGGACGAGCGCGTCGGCCTGCAGTACTCGCTCTGCTTGGAGCCCTGCGGCACACAGACACATCACCGAGGTGCTCGCGTTTCCGAAAAACTCAAACGTCCTCGGAGGGGAACTCACCCTCCGCACGGGGGACGACAGCGGCTCGCCCATGCGCTCCCGGTACGTGAAGGTCTGCAGCTTGGTGGCCTCGGCGCTGCCGGCGACCTGGAAGGTGGCGTACGGCCGGATGTCGTCCGAGTACTCTGCGGGTGACCGAAACGCAGGGCGGGTCAGGCAGGCGGGGCTCGTCCGCTTCAAGGTGGTGGTGGCGGCGGTGGCGGGCGCCCACTCACCTGGAATGCACTCCAGGGTGGCGGGCGAGGGCGGCAGCTTGCGCAGCGTCGCGTAGTACTGCTCCCTCCTGGCCAGGTTGTGCTTGTTGTCCTGCGTGGCCGTCTGGCCGGCCACCACGCCGCCCAGGACGCTGTTGACCGGCGACGTGCCCGCGCCGGCCGCGCGCGCTGCGGCAGGAAAGGGAGGGTCAGAAGGACGCCGTCGACGAGCAGGGACTGCATGACCACCATCGCGAGGCTTACTCTTTCGCAGGCACAGCAGCAGCGCGAGGAAGCTGAGCACGAGCGCGGCCACGGACACGCTCGTCAGGGCCACCATCTTGACGTCCTGGTGGAAGGGCGGGAGCGGCCGCTGGTCCGTGGTGGTGGCCACGTGCGCGGGGCCCTGCCCCGCGCCCACGCGGCCCACCGCGCCGCCGCCGCCGTTGGTGTCCAGGGTGGCCGCCAGGTACTCGGCCTGCGTGGAGCCCGCCTCGTTGTGGGCCGTGACGCGCAGCCGGTACTCCGTGGCGGGCGTGAGCGCGCTCACCTGGTAGGGGCTGCCGGGCGCGATGTTGTTCGACACTGCAACGAGAGAGGGAGGCTCAGAAGGCGGTGCGCGCGCGGTACGTCCAGGTACGTCCAGGAGCAGCACAACACTGACCGACGGTCCAGCCGTCGGGCCGCTGGCCGGCCGGCGCGAACTCCACCACAAAGTAGAGCAGCGGGCAGCCGCCGTCCGGCCACTCGTCAAGGCGCAGCAGCAGCGCCGTCACGTTGGGCTTGACGAGGGCCTGCGGCCCCGAGGCCGGCGCCTTGGCCGGCACGCCGCCCTTGGTGCGCAGGTCCAGCGTGGCGCTGGCGGGGCCCGAGCCCACGCGGTTCCACGCCGTCACGTACACGTGGTACAGCGTGCCGCAACGCAGCCCCGACAGCGTGTGCGTGTTCCACGTCCCTGCGGGCAGAGCGGCGACACTGTGAAAACAAGCAGTCTTCGGTTGCATTACCTCCACTGTCTGGCTAGCCGTACCGTCGACGCGGTGCTCCTCCCACTCGCCGTGCTCCGCCTTGTAGTGCAGCGCGAAGCCCCTGACGGGCGAGCCGCCGTCGTCGCCCAGCTTCCACTGCAGCTGCAGCGTGTGCTGGGAGTTGCCCGTCGACAGCAGCAGGGGCAAGTGCGGCGGCACTGCAACACAAGGCCGTCAGCTCGCCGCCACCGACACACAGTGGGCCAGAATACCGGCGGAGGTTGCCGAAATCCCGGACGCGTTTTGAGTTGACATCACTAAAGGATTGCTCTCCGAACGAGGAATCCATAGGTAGGGTCACGCGTTCGGTTAAAGTCCTGTTTAGCGACTCTGGAGCTCAAAACGCGTCTACAGTTTTGGCCGCCTGCGCCGGTCTTCTGGCCCACTTTGCGACACTCCCCTCGCCTCCCATCCTCCATCCTCACCGTGCACGATGAGCTGGTACACGATGTGGTCGCGGCCGAACTTGTTCCACACGACGCACTTGTAGTCGCCCTGGTCGTTGCGCTGCGCCGAGTTGATGGTGAGCGCGCCGTCGCCGTCCTTGTTGGCCAGGATCATCCTGGGCGGCACGGCGACGAGGGGGGCGTCGCCCAGCAGCCACTCGCGGGACAGCGGCGGCTGCCCGACGGCCTGGCAGCCGAGCCGCACCAGGCTCTTCCACGTCACCACGCGCACGCCGCCGAAGGCCATGATGGCCGCGGACACTGTGGAAGCAAGGTGCGCGTCAGTGGACGCCCTCAACGAGCAGAGAGGAACCCTGGGCAAGGCAGCCTACCGTTGGGGCTGGGACCGAGGGTCACCACGGCGCTGCTCTGGCCCTCGCCGACGCGCGTGTGGGCCGTCACCCAGAACTCGTAGTTGTGCTTCTTGCGCATGCCGTTGAGGCGGAACTGCAGCAGGCTGGTGGACGCCGAGGACGACGACGGTGACTCGACGGGCGGCGCGGGCACGGGGTTGTTGCGGGCCTCCACCTGATGGCGGTCAGAAAGCGAAGGTCGGATAATGACATGACTCATGTTAATAGGCTTCGTAGGCGCGGCGCGGGCTGCACTCACCTGTCGCCCCCCCTCCAGGTCCCTGACGTACACACTGTACTTGGTGAGCTGGCCGTTGGGGTGCGCGGGCGGCAGCCAGGTCACCATGGCGGTGTCCGGGGCCATGAGCATCGCCTTGATGCCGCCAGGCTGGCCCGGGACTGCAACAAGAAGGGCAAGGTCCAGGTAGTCGCGGTTCCAAAGCCTGGCACTGGATGAGAACCTTTCCGCCAAAACTTACCGTCCTCTTTCGTTCTACAGAAGATAGGGGCAGACACATTGCCATCGCCGACTCGAGTGAAAGCCAAGACCTGAATGCTGTAGTTGGTGTACTTAAACAAGCCGTGAAGTGTGGAGCTCAACTCGGTGGTCATCTTGTTCTGCACCTCGGCCACGTCTGCGACACCAACAACAAAGTTGTACTTTTTTATCCGCGTAAAACAAAAATGCTTGAACTGTGTTCGAACGCACCCTGCTGGCCTGGGACTTGGACCGGTTGGTAGAGCAGCCTGTAGCCCTGGATGACGCCGTGCACCAGCATCTCCGGGGGAGGCTGCCAGTGTACGCGCAGGGACTCCGGGGACTCCGGCGAGCAGTGCGCGTCCCGCGGCGCCGCCTCTGGGACTGGAACATGAACACCGGAAGCGGAAATGAGTCTCCCTTTCCAGCACGACTTTGTTTCCGGCTTCACGTCGGCACCCACCGTCCTCCAGTGTCTGCGCCACCACCTCGGTGGACAGCGGCCCCGCGCCCTTGGGGTTGTAGGCCTGCACCACCACGCCGTACTGCCGGTACTTGCTGAGCCCCGCCAGGACGGTGGTCTCCTGTCTGCTGCCGCCGCCGCTCCACGGCACCGTCGTGAAGTTGTACTGCCGCTTGCCCTCCGGGTCGCGGCCCAGCTCGCGGTGCCCGACGTAGTGGCCGAGCAGCGGGCCGTGCCACGACTCGGGCGCCGGCGCCTCCCACTTGACCGTCAGCTGCAACGCACGGAGACACACGATGTTACGCCCCAGTGGGCCAGAAGACCAGCGCAGGCAGCCAAACCTCTAGACGCGTTTTGAGCTCCAGAGTTGCTACATGGAACTCGAACCGGCCGCATGACCCCACCAACGGATTGCTCTCCGAACGAGGGATCCATTGGTGGAGTCACACGTTCGGTTTGAGCTCCTTTCAGCGACTCTGGAGCTCGAAACGCGTCTGGAGCTTTGGCCGCCTGCGCCAGTCGGCCCACTGTGCGCCAAGGGTTACCGCCGAGCGCCTGCGAAGCACGGGGTAGGCCGTGCCGCCGAACAGGCGTGCGCCGAGGGCTGCCGCGCGCGGCCGTCAGTACCATTACCATTACGGGCTAGACCACACATGATCGTATGCGGTTTCTGGCCCGACACAAGGTCGCCTGCACTGCAAAACGAGACGTGGTCGTCCTTACTAGGGTGACAAGGCGCCTGCCTCACCTGCGTGGATGACGACGCCTCGACGGCGAGGTGCGTGGGCGCGGCGGCGGGTGGCTCCTCGTCCGTGCGCAGCGGCAGTCGCTTGGACGCCGGGCCCTGCCCCAGCGAGTTCTCCGCCACCACCGTCACCACGTACAGCGAGGCGGGCCGCAGCGCCGACAGCTGCGCGCTCTGCAGCGGGGCGTCCACCACCACCTCCGTGGTCGAGCCGCCCTCCGGGATGTTGTCCTCCCAGGCGTCTACGTCGTCCCCTGCGTCATCCAAGAGGTTCTCCATCAATAAATGCTCTCGGAATCTCGCAAAAAGGAATGCTCTTAAACGAGGATGGACGTACCCGCGGGCCGCGAGCCCTGGTGGTCTTGGTTCGGCACGAGCCTGTACCGCACCAAGTAGCGCGTGATGATGCTGTTGCCGTCCTGGGGCGGCGCCCACGCCACCGTCGCCGTCCTGCTGGACTGCTCCACCAGGCGAAGGTTGGCCACCGCGCTCGGCGAGTCTGCCAATTCAATGTTTCAATTCTCGCAGAACAAGGAACAACAGGGATTGGCTGCCCATTCGACGCCCTACCTTGCACCAGCAGGCTGATCTGCGTCTGGTCGTGGCCGTACTGGTTCTTGCCGAAGCACGTGTACAGCCCGCCGTCCTCCGTCTGCAGGCCCTGCACCTGCAGCTCGGAGCGCAGCCCGTTGGACAGCGACGCGTTGCGGATGCTGCGGTCAACAACAACAACATTGCCGGTGTCATTCCTTGTTGTTGATGTTGGCGCGGGCACACACTGTATGACGCCCACCTGAAGCGGCCGCGGTCCTCGATGGGGGCGCCGGCCACGCGCCAGGTGAGGGTGATGGGCAGGTCCCCCAGGGCCGTGCAGCTCAGCGTCACCGTCTGTCCGCGCCGGGCCAGTTCTTTCCGGGATCGCGCGCCGAAGTGCACGGGCGCTGCGGCACGCCGATGACGTCAGCGTCAAGGCCACCGTTCGGGTGTGACACGCGGCGGGTCACCAACGCACAGTCGCACAGTGGGTCCGAAGACCGGTGGCGGCGGCCAAAATTCTAGCCGCGTTTAGAGCCGCAGAGTTTCTAAACAGGACTCGAACCGAACGAGTGACCCGAGCAATAGATTGCTCTCTGGACGAGGAATCCGTTGGTGGGGTCACACGCTCGGTTCGAGTCCCATTCAGCGACTCTGGAGCTCAAAACGCGTCAAGACTTCTGGCTTCCTCCGCCGGTCTTCTAGCAAATCCGCTGTGCGACGGGGGATACTCACAGTGCACCGTGAGGGTGACCACGGCGCTGACGCCCACCCCGATGCCGTTGCTCGCCTCGCAGAGGTAGCGGCCGCCGTCGGTCTGCAGCACGCGCTCCAAGACGAGGGACCCGTTGGCCAGCACGGCCATGCCCCTCGGGGGGCCGCCCTCCAGGCCGTCCAGGCCGTCGCCGCGCCCCGTGCCCATCACGGCGCGGGGCAGCTCCGTGCCCACCACGTCCTGGTACTGGCCGGGGTCGTTGGCTGCAAAAGCGAAGAGCGCGGGTTCAAACACCACCACCGCCACCCACTTATTTAAAAAAAATTCTTGACTCTGCTGTCCTGGGCACTGACCTGCCGCCTTCTTCCACGTGACGCTGGGCTGCGGGAAGCCTTCCACCTGGCAGTCCAGGACGGCGGACTGGCCGAGCCTGGTCTCCCTGTCCGAGGGCACCACGACCCACGTGGGGGGCACTGCAAAACCCAGCACGCCGTCAGCGAAACCCCGCGGTGGAACTAAGGTCTGCGCGCTTTTCTACTGGTATTTGGATCCTCGCGGCGGAAATTAGTTAAGTCCCGATGATTGTGTCTTATTTAGGTCGCTTGGCGACTTTACACCGATACACCGGTAATGAGGGCCGAGAGCGAAGCGGACTCATTGCGGCCAACCAGTGATTTGGCATCTCCACCCCAAAAAAAGCCGTTCCTTGATCCGAGTAAGTCAATAAAAGTCAATAAGCCAATCAACTGAGTCAATTTCCTTGGTTCAAGAAGCGGCTCTCTAGGGTGTCGAGGGTGGCTTTTAGGGTGGCATAGCGGGTTCGGGGCTCGAACAACACCGAAGCAGCCCAACTTCGGCTAGTTTGCATCGCAGCTTTGCCAGACTTGGCCGGGCTTTGGCCAGGCTTTGCCAGGCCCGAAGGACGGGAGTTTGAGAGGCGGGCGTCAGAAAGCGGAGTGCAAGGCCAGGACATGCTAAAGAGCGCAGGCCATGCGAGCGGAGCGGCGAGGCCGTTCAACAGCAGTGGACGCAACCACCGTCCAGATTCCGAGAGTCGTTTTCGTCGCTCTGCCTCTCTCGCACCTGTAAGAAACGACCCATGAATGCGAGGGAGACAGAGCGACGAAAGCGACCCCTCAAAATCAGTCTGCAGCTGGTCGAAAAAAAATTGAGGAGCAGAGGCGTGCAGGCGAAGCTTGCGGCAGCCACACTCGATTCGGCCGACAGGGCACCTGGAGACTGGTTCGCTCAGCCACTCTCGCACTCATGGGAAGCCCCGTATAGGTGAGAGAGAGACAAAGCGACAAAACCGGCTCCATGAATCAGTCCGCTGGAAGGCGCGCCAGGCCGGCCGGTCTACTCAAAACTGCAGTTCAAACCATGCGAGAACGTAAAGGACAAAAGCAACCGTTACCTGCACGTTAGCGTTCGGAAGAGACGGAAGCAAGTTACGCACGTCAACCGCGAGTCTTCCAGGGCGGTGATGGAGGCGGTTCGGCGAAGCCTTGCGAGAGCCTTGGCGAGCCCGACGAGGGGGCGTCCACGAATTACGTATAACACACTGCCACGTAATTTGTGGACAGCCCCCCAAAGGGGAGCGGCCGCGCTAGCACAACAATGACCGTCGTTGGAAACAAGTTGTTTTTGTTTGTGCTTTTGCAACTTGGCGGCTTCGCAGCCGCTTCCCTCGGCTCGCGGCGGAAGAGGCAGTACAGGGCGCCAAGGCCAAGGGCAGACAAGGGCAGGGCCGGCAGGGCAGTGAGGAAGGGCAAAGGGGCTGTCCACATTCCACTTTCGACTCGTTTTTGACGCTTCCTTGTCGTTGTCGGCGAGTTCGGCCCATTCGTGCCCTACAAGCTGAAGCGGGCCGGGGTCCTCTCGCGGCCCTGAGGCCTGGCTGGAGAGACTGGCGGCAGTGGCGATGGGCCAGAGGACCGGCGCAGGCGGCCAAAACTCTAGACGCGTTTCGAGCTCCAGATTCGCTAAATGGGACTCGAACCGAACGTGTGACCCCACCAATGGATTCCTCGTTCGAAGAGCAATCCATTGGTGGGGTCACACGTTCGGTTCGAGTCCCACTTAGCGACTCTGGAGCTCAAAACGCGTCCCGGATTTCGGCCGCCTCCACCGGTCTTCTGGCCCACTGTGCGCCTCGCGCCAGTCTTCCCGCCAGGCCCTCTGGGTGCACATGCAGCAGCACTCCAACGCACTAAGCTCTCTGCCAGCGGCTGCATGGCCACACGCCACCGCCGCCCCGCACTCCGGGGAGGCGGTGGCTCGTATCATGCCAAGCAAGCCGGCATGGCCAGTGCCCCGTGGACAGCCCCCTTCAAGAGTCCTTGTGAGTGGTAGTCGAGAGAGAGAGAGAGAGAGAGAGAGAGAGAGAGAGAGAGAGAGAGAGAGAGAGAGAGAGAGAGAGAGGAGAAAGAGAGAGAGAGCCAAGCTGCGGAGTTGTCCCGGAAACGGAACCCGGCCGCGTAGCGTGGAACGGACGAGCGCGACGCCGCCTGCCTGCAGAGGCGCAAGTGGGATTCCGAACAGTGCTTTCGTCGCTCTGTCTCTCTCGCACCCCCACCGAAACGCCCCTCGAGTGCGAGAGAGACAGAGCGACGAAAGCGCTGTTCGGAATCAGCATGCCGGCCGTCGGCGCCGCGAACCTTGCTCGTTGGCCGTTCCGCACGCGGTTCTATTTAGTCTGTCAGTGTGTGCGTGTGTGTGTCTGTGTGATACTCGCAAGAAGTCGGAGTGAGAGAGTGAGAGGACACAGAGGGAGGAACAAAAGCGCTGCTCGCTACAGTGTGAGTCTGAGTAATCTAATTAAGCTTCCATTTCCAACAGGGTGGGTTCGAGACGTGAAGAGTATGTAAAGCAGAGCTGCAGAACAGGGCGACAAAAACGACATCCCTGGGCATACTCGTTCGTGGACCCCCAAGCCTGGCCCAGGCCCGCAGCGGATTCTTTTGTTGAACAAACATCGCTTTTGGGGTCCTGCTGAGCTCATATGCTGCCGGGGTGAAGAGGCTTTGACTTTTGGTGCCCACCAAGTGTGACCCACGATTTAAAAAAAAAACGCGTCAGGATTCTCTGCCTCAGTTAACCCATGCGGCCGCGACAACACATCACAACGCTTGTCAGATTCAGATTAAGATTTACTAACTGTGGCCAATCACACTCGGTGCGCACAAGCCCAGTGAAGGTACCTTGTGAAAAGGGGGGGATGGGGAAGTAAAACAATTGATAAAATCGTCGCGGTTCCTCATCGAATGGCATCCTCCCGGAGCGCGACCGCGAGCTACTTACCCGTGACGATGAGAGGCGCCGTGAAGCTGGTCGTCTTGGCGGGGTTCCTCGCGAGGCAGGTGTAGTTGCCCGAGTGCCTAGAGCCTACACTAGGGATAGCGAGCACACTGGAGAACTCCTCCAGGTCCCTACTGACGCTCACGTCGTGGCCTCGCGCATGCGCCGCTTGGGAGGAGGGAGAGGAGGGGAGGAGAGGAAGGGGGAGGGGGCGGCCGTCCTTGAGCCACGAGATGCTGACGGGCGGGTCCCCGCGCTTGACGCTGCACGTCACCCGGGCCCGCTCGCCCGCCGACAGCTCCCCGAACGAGAAGGGACTGATGGCCGGCGGCACTGCAAACCAGCGGGACAAAAAAAACGACTGAGACACGCGGCCGCGACCCGGGGCCGCGGGGCCGCGGGGGCGGCGCGGCGCGGCGGCGGCAACAGGTGCCGGCAGCCGCCTCTTCGGCAGGCGCCCGCCCCGCCGCGCCGCCGCAGCCCCGGCCGGCCCGGCCACTGTACCGTTGACGTCCAGCTGCGCCGAGTGCGCGGCCAGGGCCACGGGGTTCCTCGCCACGCAGGTGTAGTTGCCGCCCAGCGGCCGCGACAGCGCGCCGATGGACAGCACGCTGGTGAACTGGTCCAGGCTGCGCACCACCACGCCCGTCGCCGTCGCCGCGCCCGACGACGCCGTGGCCTCGGACGACGACAGCAGGCGGCCGTCCTTGAGCCAGTGGATCTCCAGCGGCGGGTCGCCCTTGCCCACCACGCACTGCACGCCCACGCGCTCGCCCAGGTGCAGGTCGGCGCGGAAGCTAAACGGGGTGATCTTGGGCGGCACTGCAACAGGACCCTCTCTCAGCCTCCCTGCCGCCGCCACCGCGGACACGCCGCGGACACGCCGTGGCCCCGGGCCGCGAGGCAGGCAGGGCAGGGCGGAGGACAACAACACGACAACACACACAGCGCAGCAAGTCCGCAAGCTGAGAACAAATCTGATTACCAACATGATAACACTAAAGCAAATCCCGGCGCGAGCGCCCGACCAACGCGGGGTAGGCCACACGGCCGACAGCGCTGCGCTACGGGTCGGCCGGGCCACCCGGCGCTCCACTGGAAAACAAAGTGTAGGCCACACGGCCGGCAACACTGCGCAACGGGTCCGGGCCCCACACTGGAAAAACAAACACGCGTCGGACACCAACCCATGACGCTGACGTGCGCGCTGGACGAGGCGGAGCGGCCCTGCTTGTTGGTGACGGTGCAGCGGTAGTGGCCGCCGTCGCCGTCCGCGCCCGACTGCACCTTCTGCACCACCAGGGTGCCGTTGGGGAAGACGACGTGGCGCCGCATGGTGGGCAGCGCGCGCTCGCCCGAAGGCCCGTCGCGGAACCAGCGGATCTCGTCGATGGGGTAGCCCGCCGCCGGGCAGCTGATGGAGAGCGTCTCGCCGGCCACGGCCGAGATCTCCCCCATGGGCCGCGTCTGCGGCGGGCCTGTTCGCCGAGCAACAAAACCCGGTTGAGTAAAATTGAAAAAGTAGTTGGAGTTGAACCCGTGCTCCGGAGCCCGCGAGTGCACAGTGGATTTGCCAGAAGACCAGTGGAGTGGAGGCGGCAAAAATTGTAGACGCGTTTAGAGCTCAAGAGTCGCTAAACAGGACTCGATCCGAACGTGTGACCCCACCAATGGATTGCTCTCCGAACGAGGAATCCATTCATGGGGTCACACGTCCTGTTCGAGTCCCACGTAGCGACTCTGGAGCTCAAAACGCGTCTAGAATTTGGCCGCCTCCACCGGTCTTCTGGCAAATCCACTGTGTGCTTACCGTACACGTTGAGCTGCGCCTGGTGGTGCACCTCCCCGACGCGGTTGGCCGCCGTGCAGCGGTACGTGCCGCCGTCCTCGACGCGCACGCCCGTGATGTTGACGTGGCTGATGACGTTGCCGTGCATCGGCACGTACTGCCCGATCACGAACCTGACCAACAACAACATAAACAAGAGTCAGACGGCGGCGCGCCAAGCCTTGCGGCGCGGGGCAGTTCGGGGCACAGTGGGCCAGAAGACCGGTGGAGGCGGCCAAAACTCTAGACGTGTTTTGAGCTCCAGAGTCGCTAAAGGAGCCTCGAACCGAACGTGTGACCCCACCAATGGATTCCGCGTTCGGAGAGCAATCCATTGGTGGGGTCACACGTTCGGTCCGAGTGCCATTTAGCGACTCTGGAGTTCAAAACGCGTCTAGAGTTTTGGCCGCCTCCACCGGTCTTCTGGCCCACTGTGCGGGGCCCACCTGTCGGCCTGCGGCAACGGGAAGCCGTCCAGAGTCCAGCGGATGTTGGGCGTCGGGTTGCCGGAGGCGATGCACTTGAGAGACACGGAGATGCCGGGCTGGATGGTCTGTCGGATGAAGCCGCTCACGAGTTGCGGCGGCGTGTCTGGAACGGAACACAGTCAGTTTGCGGTGGCGCCGCCATTCTGCGAACAGTGTGCCGCCCTGCGAATAGAGCGGCCGCCGTGCGAATAGAGGGGCCGCCCTGCGAATAGGACGCGCCCGACCGGAGGGGCGCCGAGTCAAATTGACACAAGTCGAAGCGATTCAATTGACAGCACGACACCCTGGGAGTCCTTCCCTTTCTCGGCGCGTGTGTGCTCTGGAGGGGCCAAGGGGGGCAAGGGGGCGGGGGCAAATATTGAATTAAGGGTGGCGGGGCACAGACTGCTACATGTTGCCGAGCGACGGCACGACGGCGTCCCTGTGCTGCCGTCGGCTGCCGTCGGCTGGCCTGCTCACCCCCGAGCCGGAGCTCCGCGGCGGCGTGCACGCTCTCCTGGTCGTTCTTGACGAAGCACTGGTACACGCCCTGGTCCTCGCGGCTCACCGACGGGATCCTCAGCACCGGGCTGCCCACCTGGCCCGCCTCCAGGATCACTCGTGCGGACGGCGCCTGAAAAAGCAAGCAACAACCCCGTTACTGGTGCCCTTGAAGCGGAATCGGGAAAGGATTAGCTGCGCACAGTGGGCCAGAAGACCGGTGGATGCGGTCAGAAATCCCGGACGCGTTTTGAGCTCCAGAGTCGCTAAATGGGACTCGAACCGAACGTGTGACCCCACCAATGGAGTGCTCTTCGAACGAGGAATCTATTCGTGGGGTCACGCGCCCGGTTCGAGTCCTGTTTAGCGACTCTGGAGCTCAAAACGCGTCAAGAGTTTTGGCCGCCTGCGCCGGTCAAAGTGAGCTTCTCACCTGGCCGTCCTTGGTCCAGTACACGTGGGTGATGGGGCTGCCGCCCGGCGTGCACGTCAGCGTGGCGGCCTGGCCCAGGGCGGCCGTCACCTGCGTCGGCGCGATCCTGGCCGACAGCGGCGACCACACCACCAGCACGGCGTCCAGGCGCGCGGTGCCCAGCGCGTTGGTGGCCACGCACGTGTAGCGGCCCGAGTCCTGGGCGCGCGCGCGCGGCAGCACCAGCAGCGGTCCCGCCACGTAGTGGTTCTCGTCCTCCACCAGCGGCACGCCCTTCGCCTCCCACCTGCAAAGCACGCCGTCAACGCCGTCAAGCACGTCAGCCCTCTGGAAGGAACTGAAACTGACGGCTTGGCGCCTACGTAACCCACCCCCAGTGGAACACTTTCCGAGCGGCGGGTGCCGCGGCTCTGTCCTTCTCGCGCCCTCGCGGGGCGCCCAGTGAGTGCGAGAGAGAGGGAGCGCTCGCGCTCGGAGTCAGTGGCGCCGCCGCCCTTTCCGCTGCCCCGCTGGGCCAGCATGGAGCTTGCAGAGCCAGCCGAGGCAGCCGGGCCCGTAATTTCTAATGGCCTTATTTTCAAGCGCGAGGCCTGCCTGGAGTTGCCTGGAGTTGCCTGGAGCCGCCTGGAGCCGCCAGGCGTTGCCGGCATCACTGGTCCTCTGGGTCGCACCGCTGCGCCTCCTCGTCAGACCCGCCCCGCCCCACAGTGGGCCAGAAGACCGGTGGAGGCGGCCAAAACTCTAGACGCGTTTTGAGCTCCAGAGTCGCTAAATGGGACTCGAACCGAACGTGTGACCCCACCAATGGATTCCTCGTTCGCAGAGCAATCCATTGGTGGGGTCACACGTTCGGTTCGAGTACCATTGAGCGACGCTGGAGCTCAAAACGCGTCTAGAGTTTTGGCCGCCTCCACCGGTCTTCTGGCCCACTGTGTGTCCCGCCCCGCGCCCAGCTGCAGCGCCAATATCATCATCATCACCCCGACCGGCCGGCCTAAGTGCCCAGGGCAGTGTTCCGCCGAGTAAAAACGCGCGCGGTGCCTCGCAGGCTGATTCCGCACGGCGTGCCGTCGCTCCGTCTCTCTCGCACTCGCGCAAGGGCCCGTGAGTGCGAGAGAGACAGGGAGCATTGCTACACGTCCCGGCGGCCCACGCATTAGCCGCGAACAAAAGCAAGGCGCGCGCCTCACGCGAAGGGCCCGAAGGGGTTCGACAATAACAGTTAAAAGAGGAAAACCAACAGAAGCGCGGGGGAACGCGGCTGGCAAAAGGTGGGGCTCGTGGGACTCGAACCCCGGAGCACCGATTCGGGGAGCGGCGCTCTGAACCGCTCGGCCACGGGACGTCACTCCAGCAGACGGCAACGGCTCTATTCAAGTACGAAAGCAGCGTGCTGTTTCGGTTTCCAACCCCCGAAACTCGTTACACCATGCCACGAAATGCGCTTCGTTGGCTCCGTCCCGCTCCGTCTCTCTCGCACCGTTACGGGAGGCGCCACGAGTGCGAGAGAGGCAGACAGCACACTGTTAATGGGACACGGCACCGTCCCACGGGCACGGGTGTAAAACACTGCATGCAGCGAGCGGCGAGGAAAGGGAGGCTGCAAGATTATCCTGGCTATGGGGCCCAGGCCATGGGGCCCAGGCCGGGCCAGCAGCGGGCCCCGCTGGGAGCCCTGTCTGAGGGCCCCCTCTCTCTCACACACACTCTGCCTGCCTGCGTCCCGGGGGCCCCACTCAACTTCATTATTACCAACCTTAGCACCATGCAGCCCCCTTGCCTCCCCCCCCCCCCCAACCAAGCGCCGTCTGGTCGCGTAAAGTTTGGCATTAGGAAATAATACGCGCAAGTATACGACTGAGATAAGGCTTGTATTATGGAAGCCGACCCTCCTGCAGCGACCTGGATAAGCCCTATCGAGGACTGGACCGGCACACCAGTAACCGGCGGGCCAGTCCAGTCCCGGACTTCAAAATTACATCACAGCCTTTTCTCGTACTCTTCGTGAAGTCACAATCACCAAAAAGAAGTCCACTTTTTCTCTCTTTCCTGGGAAAATTAAATTGAGGAAATGTTTTTTCTCTCTCTCTTCTTCTTTCAGCGTTTGCAATCGCGTGCGCACCAACGTGGATCTCCTCTCTTCCTTGGGCGTTCCTATCAGCGGCTTCTGATCGCGCCTCTGTATAATAACGGGTGCAGCTTCGCTCCGAGCGAGCGAGATTGAGAGAGGGCGAGAGAGAGAGAGAGAGAGAGAGAGAGAGAGAGAGAGAGAGAGAGAGAGAGAGAGAGAGAGAGAGACACACACACACACACACTGAGGGGGCGGGAAAGCCAGCGTCAGCGTTTTGCACGGTCCCCGAGGGGGTCACTGTTCACTCATTGCCGCGCTGCTCGGCGGCGGGGCGTGGCGGGGTGGGGCGGGGCCACCCCGATAAGACACGGCCTCAAGACACTGCCGTCACCAATTTTTCTGCCGCGGTGGTGTGGTGCTGCCGCGTTTAGCCGTGATAAACCTGCTGGAGGCGTGACGGACGAAAAACGGCCAAAAAAATTGGAAAGGAAAGACGAGAAAAGCGGACTAGCCGGCCGCCGGGCCTTCTCGCATATACGAATAAATGTTCCGCCGCCGCACCCCGCCCCGCCCCGCCCCGCCACGCCCCGCCCCGCCCCACCACGCCCCACCCCGCCCCGCCACGCACGGAGCGCGTATGAGCGCAATTCAGAATATCACTATGCAAATGCGCGGGCGGTGCGGGCGGTGCGGGTCGGCCCTGAAAGCGCTAATCCCCTGGGAGTCCGCAGCGCCCTCTCCGCCGGCACCCCCCCCCCTCCCCCTTCCTTTTTCCACTGCCAGTGCCGGGCCCGGGAACAGGGGCGGACAAACACTTCGAATAGTGCAGTGGGATGAAAGGTGCATGCACTTCGCGAGAGGAGGGAAAACGGGGGAAGCGAGAGGCGCGGCCGACGCCGGGACTCGAACCCGGAACCCTGGCGTAGGAGGGTTTTCTGCTCCCTGCGTTCAGGAGCCTCCCACTACACTTTCCACAGGGACAAAGCCCACTACTCAGCCAGCCCCTGAAAATGCAGTAATTTTGAAAAATGTCTCTTCAAAGGCTTTTGTTACCCCCACGCCAAAAAACAAAAATAAATATTTAAAAATAAATCATCGATCGGCTTTGTCTCCGTCGACACTCGCGCTGCAGCGTGATTCCGCGCCGTTCTCTGTCTTGCTCTGTCTCTCTCGCACCCCCGCGGAACGCCCAAGAGAGAGCGAGAGAGACTCACCTGCACTCGGGCGGCGGGTTGCCCTGCGGCGTGCACGGCAGGACGACCACCTCGTCGCGCCGCGCCTCCATCGACACGCTGCGCTCGACCATCGCCGGCGGGGACTTGGAGCGGGGCTCTGCAAACAACAACAACAACAACAACATTAATCACTCCGCAAACAACAACAAGGGGCCGCGAGACGAAGGCCTGCTCGACGCGTAGATCGCGCAGTTTGGGAAGAGGGCGGCGAGAAAAGGCTAGACGACGCAGCGGGCGTAGTCCCGTCTCTCTCTCACTCACGGCGACTCCTATGGGTGAGAGAGAGAGAGAGAGAGAGAGAGAGAGAGAGAGAGAGAGAGAGAGAGAGAGAGAGAGAGAGAGAGAGAGAGAGAGAGAGAGAGAGAGAGAGAGAGAGAGGCCGGACGAAGACAGGGCGCGGTCTGTCTTCGTCCGGCCTCTCTCTCTCTCTCTCTCTCTCTCTCTCTCTCTCTCTCTCTCTCTCGTCGCCCCTGATAACGGGAAGTAATAAAAGAGGCGCACATTGAAACGGAAACGCGAGTTAGTTGGGGCTCTCGGCCGCCAGTGGGCCGGGGCTGCCAGGGGGCGGGCTAGGCGGGCCTGGGGGTAAGGGTGGAGCGAGGTCGCGTCAAGGGCCATCTCATGCACCTCGCGCGGGCTAGGGCGGCTAGGTCGGCGGGCGTCACGTGGGCCACGTCCGTTCCAGGCAAAGGCTCACTTCCACACCGAGCCCCCTCCTCCCCCCTCCCCCGCGAGGTTTGCCCCCACCTGGGGAAATAGCGACAAGAAAATTGGCCGCACCACGCCGAGCCGGGTAGTAGGCCCAAGACGACGTGCAGGAGGCAGCAGCCTGACTCCGAGAGTCGCTCTCGTCGCTCTGTCTCTCGCG